AGACACCTGTCCACAGAAGCAATAAATTTATCAGATTCCAAACTCTCCACCATGGCCAAGACCAAAGAGCTCTCCTAGGATGTCAGGGACAAGATTGTAGACCCACACAAGGCTGGAATGGGCTACAAGACCATCGCCAAGCAGCTTTATGAGAAGGTGACAACAGTTGGTGCGATTATTCGCAAATGGAAGAAACACAAAATAACTGTCAATCTCCTCAGCCTGGGGCTCCATGCAAGATCTCACCTCGTGGAGTTGCAATGATCATGAGAACGGTGAGGAATCAGCCCAGAACTACACGGGAGGATCTTGTCAATTATCTCAAGGCAGCTGGGACCATAGTCACCAAGAAAACAATTGGTAACACACTACGACGCGAAGGACTGAAATCCTGCAGCGCCCGCAAGGTCCCCCTGCTCAAGAAAGCACATATACAGGCCCGTCTGAAGTTTGCCAATGAACATCTGAATGATTCAGAGGAGAACTGGGTGAAAGTGTTGTGGTCAGATGAGACCAAAATCGAGCTCTTTGGCATCAACTCAACTTGCCGTGTTTGGAGGAGGAGGAATGCTGCCTATGACCCCAAGAACACCATCCCCACCGTCAAACATGGAGGTGGAAACATTATGCTTTGGGGGTGTTTTTCTGCTAAGGGGACAGGACAACTTCACCGCATCAAAGGGACGATGGACGGGGCCATGTACCGTCAAATCTTGGGTGAGAACCTCCTTCCCTCAGCCAGGGCATTGAAAATGGGTCGTGGATGGGTATTCCAGCATGACAATGACCCAAAACACACGGCCAAGTCAACAAAGGAGTGGCTCAGGAAGAAGCACATTAATGTCCTGGAGTGGCCTAGCCAGTCTCCAGACCTTAATCCCATAGAAAATCTGTGGAGGGAGCTGAAGGTTCGAGTTGCCAAACGTCAGCCTCGAAACCTTAATGACTTGGAGAAGATCTGCAAAGAGGAGTGGGACAAAATCCCTCCTGAGATGTGTGCAAACCTGGTGGCCAACTACAAGAAACATCTGACCTCTGTGATTGCCAACAAGGGTTTTGCCACTAAGTACTAAGTCAAGTTTTGCAGAGGGGTCAAATACTTATTTCCCTCATTAAAATGCTAATCAATTTATAACATTTTTGACATGCGTTTTTCTGGATTATTTTGTTGTTATTCTGTCTCTCACTGTTCAAATAAACCTACCATTAAAATTATAGACTGATCATGTCTTTGTCAGTGGGCAAACTTACAAAATCAGCAGGGGATCAAATACTTTTTTCCCTCACTGTATCCCAGTCCGCGTGATCAAAACAATCTTGAAGCGTGGATTCCGATTGGGCAGACCGTTGAATAGTCCTTAGCATGGGTACTTCCTGTTTGAGTTTCTGCCTATAGGAAGGGAGAAGCAAAATGGAATTGTGGTCAGATTTGCCGAAAGGAGGGCGGGGGAGGGCCTTATAACCATCCCGGAAGTTTGAATAGCAATGGTCGAGGATTTTAGCAGCACGAGTACAACAGTCGATATGTTGATAGAACTTCGGCAGCCTAGTCCTCAAATTTGCTTTGTTAAAATCCCCTCAGGATATGTGGTTTCCAGTCTGCATAAAGTCCAGTGAAGTATACACGGCCGTGACTATAACCGAATAAAATTATCTTGGTAGATAATAAGGTCGGCATTTGATTGTGAGATATTCTAGGTTGGGTGAACAGAAGGACTCGAGTTCCTGCATGTTACTACAATTACACCATGAGTCGTTAATCATGAAACACAAACCTCCGCCCTTCTGCTTCCCGGAGAGATATTTATTCCTGTCTGCGCGATGAACTGAGAATCCATCTGGTTGGACCGATTTCGACAGAATATCCCAAGAGAGCCATGTTTCCGTGACACAGAGTATGTTACAGGCCTTGATGTCTCTCTGGAAGGAAATCCTTGCCCGTAGTTTGTCAACTTTGTTAACCAAAGATTGAACATTAGCGAGAAGGATACTTGGAAGCGGTGGGTGGTGTGCGCGCCTCCTAAGTAGAACCAGCAGGCCGCTCCGAGTGCCTCTCCTCCGCCGGCAATGTTTTGGGTCAGCCGCTGGAATCAGTTCAGTTGCCCTGGGGAGAGCAAACAAAGGAGCTGCTTCGGGAAAGTCGTAGTCCTGGTCGTAATGCTGGTGAGTTACCGCCGCTCTGATATCCAATAGTTTTTCCCGGCTGTATGTAATGATGCAAAACACTTTCTGAGCTAATAATGTAAAAAATAATACATAAAAGGTGTATGTAAACTTCCGACTTCAACTGTACATGCCTTCCTGGTGGAAAATATATGGAATGATGGAGGGAGGAAAAATAGAAATAGAGAGAGTGGAGGAGCATGAACAGGTGGAGTTGAGGAAGTAAGAGAAAAATGGATAGATCCTGACAAACCATTTCTGTATGGACCTCGCTTTGCGCACGGGGGCATTGTCGTGCTGAAACAGGAAAGAGTATTCCCCAAACTGTTGCCACAAAGTTAGAACCACAGAATCATCTAGAATGTCATTGTATGCTGTAGCGTTAAGATTTCCCTTCACTGGAACTAAGGGGCCTAGCCCGAACCATGAAAAACAGCCCCAGAACATTATTCCTCCTCAACCAAACTTTACCAGTTGGCACTATGCATTCGGGCAGGTAGCGTTCTCCTGGCATTCGCCAAACCCAGAATCGACCGTCGGACTGCCAGATGGTGAAATGTGATTCATCACTCCAGAGAATGCGTTTCCACTGCTCCAGAGTTCAATGGCGGCAAGCTTTACACCACTCCAGCCGACGCTTGGCATTGTGCATGGTGATCTTAGGCTTGTGTGCGCCATGGAAACCCATTTCATGAAGCTCCCGACGAACAGTTATTGTGCTGACGTTGCTTCCAGATGCAGTTTGGAACTCGGTAGTGAGTGTTGCAACCGAGGACAGACGATTTTTACACGCTATGCACTTCAGCACTTGCCGGTCCCATTCTGTGAGCTTGTGTGACCTACCACTTCTCGGCTGAGTTGTTGTTGTTCTTAGTCGTTTCCACTTCACAATTATAGCACTTACAGTTGACCGGGGCAGCTCTAGCAGGGCAGACATTTGACGAACTGACCTATGTCGGTGGCACGATGAAAGTCACTGAGTTCTTCAGTACGGGCCATTCTACTGACAATGTTTGTCTATGGAGATTGCATGGGTGTGTGCTCTGTCAGCAACGGGTGTGGCTGAAATAGCCGAATCCACTCATTTGAAGGGCTGCCCACATACTTTTGTATATATAGTTTAGAAGGCTTGAAAATGCTATAGTGTGACATATACAGTGGGGAAAAAAAGTATTTAGTCAGCCACCAATTGTGCAAGTTCTCCCACTGAAAAAGATGAGAGAGGCCTGTAATTTTCATCATAGGTACACGTCAACTATGACAGACAAATTGAGGAAAAAAAATCCAGAAAATCACATTGTAGGATTTTTAATGAATTTATTTGCAAGTTATGGTGGAAAATAAGTATTTGGTCACCTACAAACAAGCAAGATTTCTGGCTCTCACAGACCTGTAACTTCTTCTTTAAGAGGCTCCTCTGTCCTCCACTCGTTACCTGTATTAATGGCACCTGTTTGAACTTGTTATCAGTATAAAAGACACCTGTCCACAACCTCAAACAGTCACACTCCAAACTCCACTATGGCCAAGACCAAAGAGCTGTCAAAGGACACCAGAAACAAAATTGTAGACCTGCACCAGGCTGGGAAGACTGAATCTGCAATAGGTAAGCAGCTTGGTTTGAAGAAATCAATTGTGGGAGCAATTATTAGGAAATGGAAGACATACAAGACCACTGATAATGTCCCTCGATCTGGGTCTCCACGCAAGATCTCACCCCGTGGGGTCAAAATGATCACAAGAACGGTGAGCAAAAATCCCAGAACCACACGGGGGGACCTAGTGAATGACCTGCAGAGAGCTGGGACCAAAGTAACAAAGCCTACCATCAGTAACACACTACGCCGCCAGGGACTCAAATCTTGCAGTGCCAGACGTGTCCCCCTGCTTAAGCCAGTACATGTCCAGGCCCGTCTGAAGTTTGCTGAGTGCATTTGGATGATCCAGAAGAGGATTGGGAGAATGTCATATGGTCAGATGAAAGCAAAATATAACTTTTTGGTAAAAACTAAACTCGTCGTGTTTGGAGGACAAAGAATGGTGAGTTGCATCCAAATAACACCATACCTACTGTGAAGCATGGGGGTGGGAACATCATGCTTTGGGGCTGTTTTTCTGCAAAGGATCAGGACGACTGATCCGTGTAAAGGAAAGAATGAATGGGGCCATGTATCATGAGATTTTGAGTGAAAACCTCCTTCCATCAGCAAGGGCATTGAAGATGAAACGTGGCTGGGTCTTTCAGCATGACAATGATCCCAAACACACCGCCCGGGCAACGAAGGAGTGGCTTCGTAGGAAGCATTTCAAGGTCCTGGAGTGGCCTAGCCAGTCTCCAGATCTCAACCCCATAGAAAATCTTTTGAGGGAGTTGAAAGTCCGTGTTGCCCAGCGACAGCCCCAAAACATCACTGCTCTAGAGAAGATCTGCATGGAGGAATGGGCCAAAATACCAGCAACAGTGTGTGAAAACTTTGTGAAGACTTACAGAAATGTTTGACCTGTGTCATTGCCAACAAAGGGTATATAACAAAGTATTGAGAGACTTTTGTTATTGACCAAATACTTATTTTCCACCATAATTTGCAAATAAATTCATTAAAAATCCTACAATGTGATTTTCTGGAAAAAAAATTCTCATTTTGTCTGTCATAGTTGACGTGTACCTATGATGAAAATTACAGGCCTCTCTCATCTTTTTAAGTGGGAGAACTTGCACAATTGGTGGCTGACTAAATACTTTTTTTCCCCACTGTAATTTTAAATACATTTGAGTCATTTAGCACGCACACTCTCATCCCAATTTGTGTGTCCTCACCCACTTTACCATCTTTTAGCCCCCAAACTGATGTTGGACTGCTCAGTGGACTTGCTTTTCCTCTTAGAGGGCTCTACCACTCTCAACCTGGAGGAGTTCCTGCGCCTCAAGACCTTCCTCAAGCGCTTCTTGCAAGCTGTCATGGGTCCCGACACCCCCGCTAAACTGGGACTGGCCGTGTATGACGGGGAGGCTCGCGTGGAGGCCCAGGTGGGCAAGTTCCAAGGGGATATTAAGGATCTCCTTAAAGCCGTTTAGGGGCTTAAGTCCCCGGGTGGGTCGAGGCGAACGGGCAACGCGTTACTCTATGTGACGCACCACGGCTTCCTGAGCGCGCCAGTGTTCGCTGATGTCCAGGACGACCTCCCCCACGTGGTAGTACTGCTCACAGCCAGCCCCACCACAGACGAGGTGGTTGAGCCTGCCAAGTATGCACAGGAACGGTAAATCTTCCTCATAGGGGTAGGGCCAGATATGCTCAAAGGACAGCTGAACAACATAACAGGGAACCCCCAACGCATGCTCACCTACCCCTCCCTAGTTAGATTCAACGCCAAAATCCCAGAGCTCAGGGCCAAGATCTGCAGCGTGGACAGTCAAGGTACTGTAAAATGAAGGGATTTTCTGATTGAACAGATAGTGAGAGAGGGTGACAGTGGGGAAAGATAGAGTGAGGTTGTGTCAATGGGCAGAAGGCTGGATTCAAACCCATGCCGACACTGTAGCCTAGACGTATGCCGGTCCAGTTGCAGCCACAAACCAAAATACATTTTGATCTCTGAAATCAAATTATTTTTTTTTATTATTATTTTTTTTGTCATTTAGCAGACGCTCTTATCCAGAGCGACTTACAGGAGCAATTAGGGTTAAGTGCCTTGCTCAAGGGCACATCGACAGATTTTTCACCTAGTCGGCTCAGGGATTAGAACCAGCGACCTTTCGGTTACTGGCACAACGCTCTTAACCACTAAGCTACCTGCCGCAAAATCAAACCTTATGCTTTACTGCTTTTTTTAAGTTACGCAAAACAATGATACTGGTGGATTTTTAAAAAAATTACTTCCTAGTGTAGTGGCTTCGTAGTTGCATGAAATCACACAAATAAATTACGATTCCATGTAAATGCCTGCTGTGCAATGTTAATGTAAAATGTGACCATTTGGCTTATTTTGGCAACTCAATCTCCACTTCCTCTATTGTCAACCTTATGTGCATCTACTCCAGAACATAGTTTGTGATAATGTAGTCAGTCCCACTCCTTTCATGATTTTTAGATAGCACAGTGAAATGATAGGGGGAGAAGGTGGTGGATGTGCTAGAATAGCAGTGGGTTGGTTTCGAAGGCAGTGGCTTAAGCCACTAGACCACCCGAGGCCACTTTATTTATTATTTTATTTATTTAACCTTTATTTAACTAGGCAAGTCAGTTAAGAACAAATTCTTATTTACAATGGCGGCTTACACCGGCCAAATCCGGACGATGCTGGGCCAATTGTGCGCCGCCCTATGGGACTCCCAATCACGGCCGGTTGTGATACAGCCTGGAATCGAACCAGGGGGTCTGTAGTGACGCCTCAAGCCCTGAGATGCAGTACCTTAGACCGCTGCGCCACTCGGGAGCCCACTTGATGTGATATTGTTGATGTTTGGCCCTCAGGTTGCCTGAGTCAGGCGATGGACCTGGTCATTGCACTGGACGGCTCGGCGGGCATGGGCAACAACAACTTCACCAACCTCAGGGACTTTGTCCGCAGCGTCAGTGTACAGTTCGACATCAACCACGACATGGCCCGGATGGGCCTGGTAGTTTACGGCCGTCAGCCAGTCACCGTCTTTTACCTCGACACCCACGATTCGGGCTCGGCCGTGCTCTAGGCCGTTGCCGAAGCAACCTACGTGAGCAGCTCCAGCTCTACGGGCTCTGCACTCCTCCACATCCATTCCAAGGTGTTGACGGTCAAAAAGGGGGCGCAGCCAGGGGTCAACAAGGCCATCGTTGTGGTTACGGACGGCGCTGGAAGGGACGACGCAGCGGTGCCTGCCCAGAAGATCCGGGACAACGGCGTGTCTGTGTTTGTCATTGCGATCAGGGACATGCAAAGGGAGAGGCTGCTGCGCATTTTCGGGACGGAGGACCACATGATTTCGGTGCTGTCTTACGAGGACCTGAAGTACTTTGAGCATGTGCTGATGCAGATGGCGTGCTCAGGTAAAAGGATGGATAGAGACACTCTTTTATCAGAGGTGAAGAAGCCAGTAAACCTGTGTAAGCCCAACCCCTTTATGAATGACGGGACCTGCATCCTATCAGGCGGGAGCTTCCGCTGTCAATGCCGAGGCTACGAGGGCCCACACTGCAAGACACGTGAGTTGCGCATTTTACTAAGAATAATCACCTCCTTGTAATGCACATGGTTTAAAAAAGTTTCACATTAAATAACACTGCTAGATTAAAACGAGTTATACAGATTTCTTTTGCACATACCTGTGGTCTTTTGTGTGATAAAAATGTATCCGTGTGTAATATGGTACTCGTTGGTGTTCAGTATGTGTTTTTACAGGGAGTAGCAGGGCTTCATCTAGGGGAGATCTCCCCAGGCCTTCAGGACTCAAGAAGAAGAACAGGTAGAAAAATAGCCACCAAGAGCTACTGCGACTCTACAAAGTACACCACAAAAGACACACAGCCAGGGTAGCCTAACACACACACACAGACACACACGAACACACACACAAAGGGAAGCATTATAGAGAGGGCACATGCACATTTTCAGATTCAAAGTCACTCAATATCATATTCCTAACAGAATACCTTTCCTACCTATCTAAGCTCCATAACACATCATTATACTCAGACCCAGGAAGTGGACTCACATAGTGTATCAACATGAGACCTGGGTTCAAATACAGTTTGACATTTTTCAAATGTGCTTTTAGTCTGCTTTGTGGTGTACTCTCTTTATAAGTCTGAAGAAGAAGGGTCTCGCAAAAATGCAACAAAACACATTTGGTAATGATTTATTTTACAGTTCTATTTCCATTGGTATTTACTTGGTATTTGATGGCGGTACATTTTGGTATTTGTTTCAAATAATTAAATAAAACCGGTAATACCTGGTAATAAATGGTGCTTGGTGGCACCAGAATCCGCAAGAATCCCAACAACAATCTATAAGAACAATATTCCTGTATTTTATGTATATTCTCATTATCATGTTATAACCATTTTACAATGTTATGTATGAGTAAATACTGTAAGTACTGTATTGTACTGGTATAAACATGCAATTAATCCTAAAAAAATAATGCATAAGACTGTCTTACAACTGCAAGCATAACTGGTATCTTTTGCTTAGTTATTCATTCTAGGGTAGTCGAATGTTTACTATATTTTATTTAGCCATTGAATATCCCTTGTTGCACTTTTGGCAGCTCTTTTCCTGCCATGTTTTGCCTACACTGTTCCCCTTTTTCCATTCCTATTTTTATGTCTCTTTATAAGAATATCATAATGCCTCATCATGACTGAGTATACATACTGGCCGTGTCCGAATACCCATACTTGCATCCTAAATAACAGGCAGTTTGAGTATGCAATTTTTTTTACGTTTTAAAATATGCAACATTACGAAAATCGAGCATACAGTGGGGAAAAAAAGTATTTAGTCAGTCACCAATTGTGCAAGTTCTCCCACATAAAAAGATGAGAGAGGCCTGTAATTTTCATCATAGGTACACGTCAACTATGACAGACAAAATGAGAGAGAAAAAAATCCAGAAAATCACATTGTAGGATTTTTAATTAATTTATTTGCAAATTATGGTGGAAAATAAGTATTTGGTCAATAACAAACGTTTCTCAATACTTTGTTATATACCCTTTGTTGGCAATGACACAGGTCAAACGTTTTCTGTAAGTCTTCACAAGGTTTTCACACACTGTTGCTGGTATTTTGGCCCATTCCTCCATGCAGATCTCCTCTAGAGCAGTGATGTTTTGGGGCTGTCGCTGGGCAACACGGACTTTCAACTCATGCTGAAAGACCCAGCCACGTTTCATCTTCAATGCCCTTGCTGATGGAAGGAGGTTTTCACTCAAAATCTCACGATACATGGCCCCATTCATTCTTTCCTTTACACGGATCAGTCGTCCTGGTCCCTTTGCAGAAAAACAGCCCCAAAGCATGATGTTTCCACCCCCATGCTTCACAGTAGGTATGGTGTTCTTTGGATGCAACTCAGCATTCTTTGTCCTCCAAACACGACGAGTTTAGTTTTTACCAAAAAGTTATATTTTGGTTTCATCTGATCATATGACATTCTCCCAATCCTCTTCTGGATCATCCAAATGCACTCTAGCAAACTTCAGACGGGCCTGGACATGTACTGGCTTAAGCAGGGGGACACGTCTGGCACTGCAGGATTTGAGTCCCTGGCGGCGTAGTGTGTTACTGATGGTAGGCTTTGTTACTTTGGTCCAGCTCTCTGCAGGTCATTCACTAGGTCCCCCTGTGTGGTTCTGGGATTTTTGCTCACCGTTCTTGTGATCATTTTGACCCCACGGGGTGAGATCTTGCGTGGAGCCCCAGATCGAGGGACATTATCAGTGGTCTTGTATGTCTTCCATTTCCTAATAATTGCTCCCACAGTACCTACCTGCCTGAATGTAAAGTGCCAACTGTAAAGTTTGGTGGAGGAGGAATAATGGTCTGGGGCTGTTTTTCATGGTTTGGGCTAGGCCCCTTAGTTCCAGTGAAGGGAAAATATTAACGCTACAGCATACAATGACGTTCTAAACAATTCTGTGCTTCCAACTTTGTGGCAACAGTTTGGGGCAGCCCCTTTCCTGTTTCAACATTACAATGCCCCCGTGCACAAAGCGAGGTCCATACAGAAATGGTTTGTCAAAATCGGTGTGTAAGAACTTGACTGGCCTGCACGGAGCCCTGACCTCAACCCCATCAAACACCATCGGGATGAATTGGAACGCCGACTGCGTGCCAGGCCTAATAGCCCAACATCAGTGCCCGACCTCACTAATGCTGTTGTGGCTGAATCGAAGCAAGTCCCTGCAGAAATGTTCCAACATCTAGTGGAAAGCCTTCCCAGAAGAGTGGAGGCAGTTATATTAATACCCATGATTTTGGAATGAGATGTACTTTTGGTCATGCAGTGTAGTATGCGACATTTCGAAACTTGAGTATGGTTTAAATGCCAGGATGTTATACTAATTTCCGCTCTTCATCTAGTAGAATTCGATGTACACTTTTCCATAATGCATTGGAAGAGGTGCGCTGAGTGTAATCGGCCCTAGTTCTCTTCAAGTAGCCAAACAACAAAACTAGGCTACTTAATTGGGAAGATGCCCGAAGCTCCTGTGGTGTTCAAACAGGCTAAGTCGTTTTTGTTCTCCTTAAAATGATCACGAGTATTGCATCGTAGGCTACATCTTTGATAACATAAGTATTTGTTTATTTTATTTACCCAAAGTGGATTTCAGTTTTTTCACTGAAAAGTGTTTTTTGTTCTCTTGGCCTTCGTCAGACCTTTTAAACTAAATACTAACCCATATTTTGATTTCTAAATGTGTCGGCATCGGGGACTCGGGATGTGGCTGCGTTATTGATGTCATGTTAATCAGGCCTTTTGGACATATGTATTGTTTGTTTTGTAGGCTAGGCTACCTATTTCATTTATGGATCAAGACTTAGCAGTCATGATCAGTTCTTTAGTTTATTATGTTGCTGTCCAGCGGTTCTGAATTTGCGATGCACCCGACTGTCCACGTTTTTATGTGCAACAGCTTTTTGAGTTGAACATTTGGTGTGTGTACTTTTTTATTTAATTTATATATGTTACATCACTTTGGTTTCACTAATAAATATTTTGAAATGCAACCAAATGATCTGTTTGTCTTAAGTCCTTTTTAAATAGAATACATGGGCTATATGGTCTACTACGGTATAGAACAGTTTAATAGCTTCAAACAATGTAAAATACAGAGTTTTTTAGAGAAATTAGAGAAATTTTAGAGAAATTAATCAAATTGGAAATGAGCTATTATCAGCCTGGTTAATGTGATGCATGTCTGTTGAATTTGGAAAAATCCACCGCACTCGCCCCGCCCCACCTACTCAGTCAATCAGGTGTTGCGGACGTGGCATACTGCATACTTTTTACTAAACGGTATGTGCTAAATAGTATGTGACGATGAGTAAATAGTATTCAGTTTAAGTATGTACTACGCTAGTATGGGTATTAGGACACGGGCCAATGTATCTTCTTTCTGGAAAGAAGAAGACTTGAGTATTTTTTGACTGAAAAAAATTAATATATATATCCTTAGCTACTATAGTATTGTTGTATGCAAATAAAAAATGACTTGCTTTATATACAGAGAAATGTGTTTGTGTCAACATGAGCATGATACGATGTATGAATTGTTTGTCTTTTTAAAGTCTGATTTCTGTTTTTAATTTATAAATAGAGGAGTGTTCATGAAGACCCATTTGAGTGTGCTGGCAACTTTTAATTAAATTCCATTATGAAATGCACATAAAATGTATCGGCAAGCAAGTATTTCTGTCAGTACTAAGTTCTTTTATTTGAATAAAAGTGCAAGTTTTAGCTAGCATACAAGTTAAAAAGTTAACAGAACAGAACAGTGTAATATGTATTTACATCTTGGCTATCAGCATACATGAACCAAGCTACAATCTAGACTGTACCAAATGGTAGACCTAGTAGGGGTGTCATCCCCTGTGGCATGCTGGTGTAGGAGGAAAGTGGCTCGCAGTGGTCTCATCTTTGGGTATTTAGGTGTTATTTCCATATTTCCCAAAACAATCCGGTATATTATCAAAAAACCTCAAAAAAAAATTTTTTATGTGAAGATATGAAAATGTGACTATATGAAAAAAAAACGACTTCAATAGTTTTCAAATCTAGAATTGTCCAGTGGCATTGGTTTTCCAGTAGACAGGTGTGCCTGGTCTCTGATTGGCTTTCTGCGGAGCCATTCGTTTCTGTCCTATTCTCTGGTTGGACAGAGGCAGGTGGAGGGGCAGGGAGGTGGTGGGGGTGGTACCCTTTGCCTCCCTAGCCCCCCAGTGCAGCCCCTCCTTGCCAAAGCATAGCACCTGACCTGGCCATAGGTCATAATGATGACCTCAAATGTCATCAGAGATCAAAGGGAAAGTCTTGCTCACCCCTAGGTGGTGGATTTCTTCTCCCATTCCTGTGTGTGCAGAGAGAGAACAGCGTTAATGCCAACAATGATCGTTTCTGTATTTTACATTGTTTGAAGCAATTAAGTTGTTCTCATGGCTCATCCAATGAATTCATTTGAGTGGTTAAATTTCTTCAGCGTTGACCCTGAAAACAAGCTGAAAACAAAAATAATTGTACCTTTAAAGCAGTGGTCACCAACCTTTTCTGAGTCAAGATCACTTTCTGAGTCAAAATGCAAGCCGAGATCTACCGCTCAGATATTTGTTTTTGAAACATGACTTCAAAAATGTAAACCTATGCAGCATTAACCTAATAAAAACAGTTCTGCAGGAATGAGGTTTGTGCAGTAGGCCTAATACATTATCACAGCATATTGGCTATGTTTGGCCTGACAATATTGTCCTTCTCAGACCATATTATATTTCAAAACTTGAGCTACATGATAACAAAATAGATCAGTTGTTGTATTACTTGCGAGGCACTGCTGAGCATACATTTAAATAACGCAGTTTTTTATTTTACCAGACTAAATGGTACCTGCATGCATCTGAGCAGAGCATCTCAGCAGAGGGAGGGAGAGAGCAGCAGAGGGTCCGCCTCTCACAGTCCCTGCTCTCTCCCACCGGTGAGACTGACCAGAGAGAGGGGACAATGTCTTCTACCTGATGACGAAACTCGAGAAGCACCGTATTATTTCTGTCTCATGCACAAATTCATGTTGTTGTTCCTTTGACCAGAGAAAGTTAAATATTCCTCGATATTAAAATAGACACGACGAGCCGCTAATAATAAAAATGCAGGCCTATCAATATACTTGGCTACTCATTAATTGCAGCTGCAGTGCTGGTTGTAGTGCAAGTGGAAGTAGGGAGAAGCACATTTGTAAAAGTGTTGAATAAAAACAGTGTTGACAGTGCTGAATAAAAACGTAAACATGAACTCACTCTATGCTATATTCTTTGACTGTCTCTCACTGTCTCTCTCTGGTCATGGTTTTAAAAATTATGAAATCTCACATAGGCTAGTATCAACTTTGCTGTGGGTGGGGTTGTGGAAGCTGCAGGCAAAGTGATTTGAGCTATCCGATTGGTCAGTAGTAGGTGCTTTGATTTATCTCTCCAGGTCCGTCGGGTAGGCAGAGTTTGTACCTTAAGACAAATCAAATGGTTCAAAATGGGAACACTTTGCCTACCCGGCATGTAGGGCAGTTGAATCAAGTACACCTACCACCAACAGCGCAAGACTAATAAATAAAAAATAGACCCGCAAGGCTTAATCGTTGGATTTCTACAGAAATGTTTGTAGATCGACTAGGAATGCCTTGAAGATCGACTACTTTAAAGCACTGGTTCTCAAACCTCTCCTCAGGGACCTCCAGACGTTTCACACTTTTGTTGTAGCTCTGAACTAGCTCACCTGATTCACTCACCTAGTTAAGGGCTTGATAGGTTGAATCAGATGTGCTAGCTAAGGAATAAATCAAATACATGGAACGGCTGGGGGTCCCCGAGGAAAGGTTTGAGAACCACTGCTTTAAAGGATGTCAATCTCAGAGGCAGTATTGCAATAGTCTTGCATTTTGCCACCTTTCCTCTGGCCAGTGTAAGAACACTACTAAGTCAGAGTAAATGTATGTGTGCGAGTAAAAGAGTAAAAAGTGTGTTTGTGTGTGTGATCATATCAACAACATACACTGAGTATACAAACCATTACGAACACCTGTTTTTTCCATGACTGACTGACAAGGTGAATCCAGGTGAAAGCTATGATCCCTTGTTGATGTCACTTGTTAAATCCACTTCAATCAGTGTAGATGAAGGGGAGGAGGACAGGTTAAATAAGTATTTTTAAGCCTTGAGACAATTGAGACATGGATTGTGTGTGTGTGCCATTCAGAGGGTGAATGGGAAAGACACAAGATTGAAGTGCCTATGGTAGTAGGTACCAGGCGCACCGGTTTGTGTCAAGAACTGCAATGCTGCTGGGTGTTTCACGCTAAACAGTTTCCTGTGTGTATCAACAATGGTCCACCACCCAAAGGACATCCAGCCAACTCAAAAAGTGCATACATCAATGACCTTTGAAAATATGGGTTCTCTTTCATTATAGGTCCAAATAAAGTTGTCAAATGCCTGTGTGTGCACGTGCGTGCCTTTGTGTGTGTGTGTGTGTGTGTGTGTGTGGGGGGGGGGGGGGGGGGGGGCAATAACCTCTGACCTTAGCCTTCTGCAGGACGTTGCCTTTGCTGGATGCCATGATTGACGGGGGTCTATTCTTTAGCGAGGTGGCGGAGTTGACAGGAGAGGAGTCCCCATAGTTTGTGGGGGGAGAGGGAGTCTGTGGGGGGCCCATGGATGCTGCTTTCGCCTGTAACAAGAAAATCAAGAGCTGAATGCTTATTCTGAATGTTTATCAAAGTTAGCTGTTTAACTTAGTGATGCTGAGGGGTATACTACGATGCAAGCTATATCTACTCAGGGTTTTCTAAAGATGGCCAGCTTCAGTTAACTTCACATTCCAGCTCAGACTTCATCCGAGTTACGACGTTGGATATTGCTCGCCCGCCAGCCGCTAACTCTAGCAGGCTTGTAACTGCACATGCATGTCATAAGTGGCTAGTCGAACGCCAAACTCCTCATTGAGACAATGCTGAAACATAAATCCATGGGCGAGTCAGTGCCACATTTTCATTTGTGCGAAATCAAAATGAAAGAAAAGTTATCTTGCAAATTGCACACACACACACACACAATCCATGTCTCAAACTCTCCATGTTGAATCAAATATAATTGAAAAGCTTGTTTTCCGGAGCATATCGTTAGCTAGTCCATGCATGGCTACATCCTTTGTAGACGTAGTGCTTTGTGCTGAAAGATTAGTAATTTCCTGAAATCCGATTGGTTACTGGAATTTAAAGGCCCTTTCGGGCAACCTGATTGGTTACAATGCCTCACGTGCCGCGCAGCACTTCCTTGTTTGAAAATATCTCCCATGTAGAATCCCCGTGAAGAGAGACAAAATGAGCACATCTCGAAGAATATACCTACAGTATGTGAGTAAAAATAGGCGATCTCAGTTAGCCAATGCGAGAAAAGCAGTGAATGAAAGAAAAAATTAGCCTGATCAGCCGATCGAGGCAGTTGCAGTACAGTTAGAGGAGGAAAAGGAGGGAGCCGGCAGCAGCGCGTCGAGATGCAAATGAGTTGAGATGAAGATGACAGCTAGCAGCGATCAACCAGACAGCAGCCAGCCAACAAATAAACCAACTTGTACATGATTTGATTTGCCCTAAATGTCTAAACACTGGACTGAAAATTAACATAGACCCCACCAACCAGGGATTCTGTAATTCTGTCATGATAGAATGTGCACACTGTGAAGGTGATCATGATGCATTTAGGAGGAGTGTTTACACTTCCTCCAGGCTGCAGGAGTGCTCCAGGGGAGATGTGGGATTTGATAAAAATGGGAGGATGGTTCTTCTAGCCCACGAACTTGGACTTGGTTATGCAGCTCTAAAGAAAATAAGCAAAGCCCTAGGGATTCCTTCCTTGTGTCTCAGCTCATATCAGAGACATGACAGGAGAGTGACAGGTAAATAAAAAGGGAGAGTAGCCCATTATTGTCAGGTGAATTGCTGTGTATAAATAATATATAGTTCCTTGCTCCAGCAAATTTATTCAAAGTGAATAAACAGAGTGATTGGAAAACATAACTATACAATCAGACTGTCACATAGGCCTGCAGTGTCATAGGGCTGTAGCCTACTGTGATTACTGAGAAATTAGCTTTACATAAAGTAAATACATGCTGATATGCTAATATTTACGTAGGGTAACATGCTGATATTTAGTCCTGCAGTTATGACTGTAATGTTGACAGACATCATAATAAGTAACTTCCCCCCCCCCACTTTAGTTGCAGAGATTCAGAGAGGGCTACAGTCAATGGAGAGTGCTGCAAAGCTAATTAGAAGAGCATAATACGATGCTGTCAGATGGTGACAGTACTGCATACAAGGCAGTTGTCAAATTAGATCCCTACCCAGGCATTGAGATAGGGAAACTAGAATGCATCAATCATGCCCACAAGAGGATGGGAACAGTGCTTCGTAAACTTAGTTCAGAGAAACACCTTGGGGGGAGAGGTGTATGGAAACTCACTGCACAAAAATGTAAGAGTCTGCAAAACTATTACAGGGGTGTAATTATTGATAACCAGGGTGATGTAGAGGGCATGAGAAATGCTATGTGGGCTGGTCTTGTCCATTCCATGTCAACAGACAAAATCCCTAATCACGGTAGATGCTCGTCATCTTGGTGCTGGTACCAGCGAGCCCTAGAAAATGGTGAAGATCCACCCAGTCACAAAAAGCATGGAGGCCATCCATTTTTGAATAGAGAGGTTGCACAGAAAATGGTACCTGTATATCATAGGATGTCAAATGATAACCTCCTTAAAAGAATGCAGCACGGAGGAACCCATAATGCAAATTAATGTCTGAACTCTGTAATATGGTCGCGATGCCCCAAAACTGTCTTTGTGGGCAAAAGCCGCATTGACGCAGCAGCTAGTATGGCAGTAGCCACGTTCAATGAGGGAGCCACTGCTATATCAAATGTGATGGACAAATTGTGGCTTGACAGCACTTTGGTGACACTGGAAGCAATCAGAGAGGAGGATGTGAGGCGTGTTGTGAAAGCTGATGCTGCTTCAATGGAGTGTGCCAATCGTAGGCGCAGGTCCCATGACACAGTCAAGAAAGAAAAGCGGCACCACAACTCAAAGAGGGCCTTACATATGGGGCAGGCATAGCTGATTCATGTTCTGCACATTTCACCAGCCATACAAAAGCCTTGCATGTGACAAATCGAGCAAAGTGATATGAGAATTTGTCCAAAACTGCAGATTTGCCCAACAGTCCAGTATTCAAAGCATATACTCTATTGCTTGAAACAAATGTATTAAATTTGCTAATGTATTTGTAAAAGGTATATTTGATGTTTATTTGTCAGTTTAAAAGTGATATATGAAGAAGAGATTAATTAATGTGACATTAATGGTCATATTTATGGAAAGTACATTCTAATTGCATTAGCCTATCTTTATCGGCCATTTTGTCAGAATGACCTTTCCCGTGCGCCAATAAATTTTTCTAAGTCGTCAAAGGACGTACATTCACATTATTCCACACACAGGTTCGTAGGTCTTATAGTCAGACTTATACAGAGTTTTTTTTTTTATATCTTGTGTAGTTTAGATTTTAAGTGTCATTTTATCTGTAAATATATGCAAAATATGCATCTGTCATACATGTGAATAGTGTTTTTAAATAATTCCATGAAATTACAATATTTTGAGAAACTGTTCTGTGAAAGTCTTACCATTGAGTGTCTTGAGTGCTGACGGGAGAGGACGTGTTTTTCTCTGGCTGGAGGTAAGTAGGGGTAAGCTACATGTAGTGTTGAGTAAAGCTTAACCATGTATTAGATCGTAGGTAGGTAGTTAGCTGTAGTTAGGTATTGTATTTATTGTAGGTTAGTATTGTTGTTATTGTAGCTTTCCGTGGGTAATTGTGGGTTAGAATTGAGGCACGAAGCTAGCTAGCTAGCGGGTAGCTATTGGTAACGATTAGCAACGCTGGAGAGCTGGTTCCAACGGTAATGTAGTCCTACCCAACGTTTAACTTTTGCTTAACCATGTACTAGATCGTAGGTAGGTAGTTAGCTGTAGTTAGGTATTGTATTTATTGTAGGTTAGTATTGTTGTTATTGTAGCTTTCCGTGGGTAATTGTGGGTTAGAATTGAGGCACGAAGCTAGCTAGCTAGCGGGTAGCTATTGGTAACGATTAGCAACGCTGGAGAGCTGGTTCCAACGGTAATGTAGTCCTACCCAACGTTTAACTTTTGCTTAACCATGTACTAGATCGTAGGTAGGTAGTTAGCTGTAGTTAGGTATTGTATTTATTGTAGGTTAGTATTGTTGTTATTGTAGCTTTCCGTGGGTAATTGTGGGTTAGAATTGAGGCACGAAGCTAGCTAGCTAGCGGGTAGCTATTGGTAACGATTAGCAACGCTGGAGAGCTGGTTCCAACGTTTAATTATTATTATTATTATTATTATTATTTATTTTTTTTTGCTGCGTTGTGAAGGGAACTCGACACGGACTTGAATTGTCTGTTTGGTGTGCTGACACACTCTTGGCAGTTTGTTGTGGCCAGGTGTTGATGCTAGTTGTGTGTTAATGGATGCTAGCTTGCAGGTTGGCTACGGCGTCATAGCTAGGCTTCGTGGGTTGTTGTGGGTAGTTACTGTGTCTTGGCAGTGTCCTCGGCCGTGCCAGCTGTAGCACGAAGCTAGCTAGCTAGCCGTTCTTCAAACAGAGTCGACACAGTGGCCATTGCTAGCTACCCAACATGACCATTTGGCTGTACTGAAGTAGCTAACCACAATTTACTTGTCCTAGCTAGCCAACGTCTAATCATTGCTGCGTCATGTAAGGAACTTGACACAGACACGAATGATCTGTTTAGTGTGTTATCACAATATTGGTGGTTTGTTGTGACCAAGTGTTGGCGCTAAACGGTGTGTTATTGTTATTGGATGCTAGTCTGCTAGTTGGCTATGGAGTCATAGTTGGCTAGCTGAACAAAGTGGGTTGAGTCTACTCCTTTAAACATTGAACCGCTGTGGTTCACAACAATTCTGATTTCCAAAGGCGGAAGTTGGGAGAGTTTTTTCTTCGGGTGGTTCAGTGAAACAATTTTAGTTTCCGAGGTAGAAGTTTTGGTGAGGGAGGCCCTGCTCTCTCCACTCCCAGATGCTTAGCCCATTTCATTCCGATCTCCTCTGCATTTTTGTAGCCATTTGCTACAGCCTGTCAACTATGCCTCTGCCTATCCCTGTTCTCTCCTCTCTGCACAGGCTACACAAACGCACCACACCGCGTGGCTGCTGCCTCTCCAATCTGGTGGTCCCTGCACGCACCACCCACGTGGAGTTCCAGGTCGCAGGCAGCCTCTGGAACTGCCGTTCTGCTGCCAACAAAGCTGACTTCATCCCAGCCTATGCCAACCTCCAGTCCCTCGACTTCCTGGCGCTGACGGAAACATGGATCACCACTGAAAACACCGCTACTCCTACTGCTCTCTCCTCGTCTGACCATGTGTTCTCGCATACCCCGAGAGCATCTGGTCAGAGGGGTGGTGGTACAGGAATCCTCATCTCTCCCAAGTGGACATTCTCAATTTTTCCCCTAACCCATCTGTCTATTTCCTCATTTGAATTCCATGCTGTCACAGTCACTAGCCCATTTAAGCTTAATATCCTTGTCATCTATCGCCCTCCAGGTTCCCTTGGAGAGTTCATCAATGAGCTTGACGCCTTGATAAGTTCCTTCCCTGAGGATGGCTCACCCCTCACAGTTTTGGGGGATTTCAACCTCCCTATGTCCACATTTGACTCATTTCTCTCTGCCTCCTTCTTTCCACTCCTCTCCTCTTTTGACCTCACCCTCTCACCGTCCCCCCCTACTCACAAGGCAGGCAATACGCTTGACCTCATCTTCACTAGATGCTGCTCCTCTACTAATCTCACTGCAACTCCCCTCCAAGTCTCCGACCACTACTTTGTTTCCTTTTCTCTCTCACTCTCCTCCCACACTACTCACTCTGCCCCTACACAGATGGTAATGCGCCGCCGCAACCTTCGCTCTCTCTCTCCCACTACTCTCTCCTCTTCCATCCTATCATCTCTTCCCTCTGCTCAATCCTTCTCCCTCCAATCTCCTGATTCTGCCTCCTCAACCCTCCTCTCCTCCCTTTCTGCATCCTTTGACTCTCTGTGTCCCCTATCCTCCCGGCCGGCTCGGTCCTCCCCTCCAGCTCCGTGGCTTGATGACTCATTGCGAGCTCACAGAACAGAGCTCCGGGCAGCGGAGCGGAAATGGAAGAAAACTAAATTCCCTGCCGACCTGGCATCTTTTCACTCCCTCCTCTCTACATTTTCTTCATCTGTTTCTGCTGCTAAGGCCACCTTCTACCACTCTAAATTCCAAGCATCTGCCTCTAACCCTAGGAAGCTCTTTGCCACATTTTCCTCCCTCCTGAATCCTCCCTCCCCCCCCCCCCCCCCCCCCCCTCCTCTCTCTCTGTGGATGACTTCGTCAACCACTTTGAAAAGAAGGTTGACGACATCCGATCCTTGTTTGTTAAGTCTAATGACACTGCTGGTCCTGCTCACACTGCCCTACCCTATGCTTTGACTTCTTTCTCCCCTCTCTCTCCAGATAAGATCCTGCGACTTGTGACTGCAGGCCGCCCAACAACCTGCCCGCTTGACCCCATCCCCTCCTCCCTTCTCCAGACCATCTCCGGTGACCTTCTCCCCTACCTCACCTCGCTGATCAACTCATCCTTGACCGCTGGCCATGTCCCTTCCGTCTTCAAGAGAGCGAGAGTTACTCCCCTTCTCAAAAAACCAACACTCGACCCCACTGATGTCAACAACTACAGACCAGTATCCCTTCTTTCTTTTCTTTCCAAAACTATTGAGCGTGCCGTCTTTAGCCAACTCTCTTGCTATCTCTCTCAGAATGACCTTCTTGATCCAAACCAATCAGGTTTCAGGACTGGTCATTCAACTGAGACTGCTCTTCTCTGTGTCACAGAGACTCTCCGCACTGCTAAAGCTAACTCTCTCTCCTCTGCTCTTGTCCTTCTAGACCTGTCTGCTGCCTTTGATACTGTGAACCATCAGATCCTCCTCTCCACCCTCTCCGAAATGGGCATCTCCGGCGCGGCTCACTCCTGGATTGCGTCCTACCTGACCGGTCGCTCCTACCAAGTGGCGTGGCGGGAAGCTGTCTCCGCACCACGTGCTCTCACCACTGGTGTCCCCCAGGGATCGGTTTTGGGCCCTCTCCTTTTCTCCCTATACACCAAGTCACTTGGCTCTGTCATATCCTCACATGGCCTTTCCTATCATTGCTACGCTGACGATACACAACTAATCTTCTCCTTTCCCCCTTCTGATAACCAGGTGGCGAATCGCATCTCTGCATGTCTGGCAGACATATCAGTATGGATGACGGATCACCACCTCAAGCTGAACCCTGGCAAGACGGAGCTGCTCTTCCTCCCGGGGAAGGACTGCCCGTTCCATGATCTCGCCATCACGGTAGACAACTCCGCTGTGTCCTCCTCCCAGAGTGCGAAGAGCCTAGGCGTGACCCTGGACAACACCCTGTCGTTCTCCGCCAACATCAAGGCGGTGACCCGCTCCTGCAGGTTCATGCTCTACAACATTCGGAGAGTGCGACCCTGCCTTACACAGGAAGCGGCGCAGGTCCTGGTCCAGGCACTTGTCATCTCCCGTCTGGACTACTGCAACTCGCTGTTGGCTGGGCTCCCTGCCTGTGCCATTAAACCCCTACAACTCATCCAGAATGCCGCAGCCCGTCTGGTGTTCAACCTTCCCAAGTTCTCTCACGTCACCCCCCTCCTCCGCACACTCCACTGGCTTCCAATTGAAGCTCGCATCCGCTACAAGACCATGGTGCTTGCCTTTGGAGCAGTGAGGGGAACGGCACCCCTGTACCTTCAGGCTCTGATCAGTCCCTACACCCAAACGAGGACATTGCGTTCATCCACCTCTGGCCTGCTGGCTCCCCTTCCTCTGCGGAAGCACAGCTCCCGCTCAGCCCAGTCAAAACTGTTCGCTGCCCTGGCACCCCAATGGTGGAACAAGCTCCCTCACGACGCCAGGACAGCGGAGTCACTCACCACCTTCCGGAGACATTTGAAACCCCACCTCTTTAAGGAATACCTGGGATAGGCTAAAGTATTCCTTCTAACCCCCCCCCCCCAAATTGTAAAGTGGTTATCCCACTGGCTATAGGGTGAACGCACCAATTTGTGAGTCGCTCTGGCTAAGAGCGTCTGCTAAATGACGTTAATGTGCCCTTGAGCAAGGCACTTAACCCTAATTGCTCCTGTAAGTCGCTCTGGTTAAGAGCGTCTGCTAAATGACTAAAATGTAAATGTAAAATGTTATCGCAATAAAACAAAAACATTCTGCCTTGAAGCAATGTGTTGAAAAACCGATTCTCGTAATATGCAAATAAGCACATATTTAAGGTATGCCTAATTTGCATATTTACATAAAAAAATAAATAGAACTTGTAATACAAAAATATATTGTATTTATGCATACTTTAAACTGGTAAAGTTTCAGTCTGATAAGAGTAAATGGACAAATAAATCCCTATTAGCCTGGCCTTAACCATAAGTGGAGAAAAATACAAAAATGACCCAAGATCAGCATCCAGGGGCAAATTTCCTATAAACAGTGTTAACCTACACACCGTGGGTGTGTCCAGGAGGCTGCTGTCCAATGTGGTGCCCAGAATGAAAGGCCCCGCCTCTGCTTTCCTCAGACTCTCCTTCACCTCCATCAATCGTAGCTCCACCTCCACCCGCCACTGCTCCGCCTCCCGGCACGCCTCCTCCTTCTGCTTCAGACATGCATCCAGCGAAGCCTGCTGCACTGGGTCTGAGTAACATGGACATGTGTCAATCAGAACGTCAAACCTGACGTAATTACAATCATAATGACATGTGGATGCCAATCATGATCTCAGTGATTGAGAATGTTCTTAAGTGACATGCTTGTTTACTTTACAGCTACATATGGCATATGCAGAGGGAAAGTCATGAAACAAGCATCATGTTAAACCATGTTAACTGTTTCATACTAAAGGCTAGAATAATTCAGAATTTGCCCAATGTGTACCTTTTTAGTAGGGGATAAAATACACAAAAACAAAGATTACACATGAAGTTGTCTTTTATACTTTAATGTCTTAAAAAACAGCATAGACACTAAGTAAATGCTCGATTCAATCAGATCCGCTTTAGCTGACATTCTGCATAGTGGTTGTTTTGGGGGTGTCGGAGGTGGAACTGCGTTAGAGCTGTCAAATCCACAAGCGGCTCCCGGCGTTATACCTATTGCAGACATTGCCATTGGATGCAACGAATCCACACTCGACTTTATCATCCGACAAATCCCATGCAGCCACGTTAGACGTTGCAGCTGCGTTACAAGTTCAAACACTCGAATGGGTGATGTTCTATTGGGCGCTTTCGAGCGGATCCATTTGTCAAGTCGGTGACCATCGTTGGTCACTGCCTTTCAAAGTGTGTTACATTTGTGCCTACATGTCGACTGCATGAACTTTACAATGTGATCAAAGATCATGCAGTTTTTGACGAAGTCGCCTTCAAGTCACTGTACTTGCTTCTCACCAACTGCACCATGCAGCCATCGCCTGGCTAGTGAGGAGATACTATATGTCAAGTAATCATTAGGGTGTTTTTGGTTGACCTGTGCTAACATGACCAAAGACGTGACTGAAACAGGAACCAATTTTGCCGCGATTCTAAAGCTACAGGGGATACAAATTAAAGAGATAATTGAGTCCTCTCTCTAAGCTATTTATTGTACACACATTATATTTCAGTTTGTGAGAGTGTGATATGGAGGTATAGACAATTATAAAGAAAAACTTCTATAAACAATAGCTGCTATGTTGACACTGCCATGTTGATCTGAGCCATTCTGTTGGAAAACCAATACAGTGTCCGTCTTTCGGCTGTCACAGATGCACCTCCCAAAATTCACTCATTGACGTTCATATACAGTCGGCTTCGTTAGCCTTACTACTCGAACACACCCATTGTCTACACCTCGATTAGACTGATAGGCTATGAATTCCCCCATCAAAATTAACATGAAAACATGCTTACATTAAAAATTCACTACGAAATTTAGACTACTCACTAATAGCCTATGATTTATCAATTGATGGCATGCCCATTGCCGTCCTTGTGATTGCACTTTGGCCATAATAATTTGCGGGATAATATCTTAATTTATTAATTCTAAATTTATGTTCAAGTGATTAATAACTTATACCTATATTAGCCTCCACACGTGAAATCAGTTGGCCATCTGCCATGGTCAATGTATAAATAGAGGACAGTTGCAAGTGTGTTTCTCAATGTCACCAACAATGGAAAACACTAGTTTTAGTTAATAAAAAAGTGTAGCCTATTTCCTAGGAATGAATTGCATGCATAAAGTACAACATGATGCTAATTTCATATCCACTGCACATGTAGAAAAAGCGAACAGAAAACAGAAAGGAAAGGAGAAGGAATCGGGGGGAAAAAAGAGGCACCGATTCACCCCTCGAGATGAGTATTATTTATATTTATATTATTTATTTATTACATTTGAGTCATTCTATCATCGACAGAGTCTACACTGTCTACCACCGTTTTTAACTAATAACGCATTAGAGATACTAAGAAAGGGAGTGGTTTGTGACACTCGATAGCAGCCGCTCACTGATATGTCAGCTCATACCTTAGTTACACCTCCAACACTACACGTCCAACACGGGTTTAAAGCTCGTTTTGATTTAATCTAGGCCTGAATCTAGGCCTAAATCGCGCCCTATGCATTTAGGAATTTAATTGGCTCAATTCATCTCCTTGCCTTCTCAACCGTATTGGAAGAGAAGGTCCAAGGTCCCTCCCCTCAGGCCTTCTTCTCCAATGGGTTTTGAGGAGCCCACTGGGCACACACTGGTTGAATCAACGTTGTTTCAACAGAATTTGTCAACATATTGTGACGTGGAATCACTTGGATTTTTTAAAAAGTCGTCCACCAATACTGTTTTCATCTCATTTCAGCCAGGGTTGTAAACATTGAAATTAGGGTAAAACTTCAACTTAAATACATTGACTTAACTTGACTAACAGGTTGTTAAATCAATCTAATTTCAACATAATCATCAGAACTATGTATACGTTGAAATTGTATTGAAAATTCCACATAGAAATGTAAAAAATATTTTGCATCCTATATTCAATAGGATATTCAACTGAGTATACAAACCATTAAGAACACCTGCTCTTTCCATGACAGACTGATCAGGTGAATCCAGGTGAAAATTATGATCCCTTATTGATGTCAATTGTTAAATCCACTTCAATCAGTGAAGATGAAGGGGAAGAGACAGGTTAAAGAAGGATTTTTATACCTTGTGACAATTGAGACATGGATTGTTTATGTGTGCCATTCAGAGGGTAAATTGTCAAGACAAAAAATTTAAGTGCCTTTGAATGGGTATGGTAGTAGGTGCCAGGCGGACAGGTTTGTGTCAAGAACTGCAACGCTGCTGGGTTTTTCACGCTCAACAGTTTCCCGTGTGTATCACGAATGGTCCACCACCCAAAACGTATGTGTTATGGCTTTACACTCCCTGCTATATTGTGGATAAAGAGTTACCTGTTTAACAGAACACAGAGGGTCTTCTTTAATGGAAGCCTCTCCAACATAATCCTGGTAGAATCAGGAATTCCCCAGGGCAGCTGTCTAGGCCCCTTAATTTTTTCAATCTTTACTAATGACTTCTAATCAAATTGTATTTGTCACATACACATGTTTAGCAGATGTTATTGGGGGTGTAGCAAAATGCTTGTGTTTCTAGCTCCAACAGTGCAGTATATCTTACAATTCACAACACTACACACAACCTAAAAGTCCAAGAATGTAATTAAGGAATATATAAATATTGTAAATATTAGGATGAGCAATGTCGGAGTGGCATAGACTAAAATAAAGTAGAATAGAATACAGTATATACATATGAGATGAGTAAAGCAAAAATATGTAAACATTATTAGAGTGACTAGTGTTCCATTATTAAAGTGGCAAGTGATTTCAAGTCTATGTATATGAGCAGCAGCCTCTAAGGTGCAAGGTTACGTAACTGGGTGGAAGCCGCCTATTGATGGCTATTTAACAGTCTGATGGCCTTGAGATAGAAGCTGTATTTCAGTCTCTCGGTCCCAGCTTTGATGCACCTGTACTGACCTCGCCTTCTGGATGATAGCGGGGTGAACACGCAGTGGCTCGGGTGGTTGTTGTCCTTGATGATCTTTTTGGCCTTCCTGTGACATTGGGTGCTGTAGGTGTCCTGGAGGGCAGGTAGTTTGCCCACGGTGATGCATTGGGCAGACCGCACCACCCTCGGGAGAGCCCTGCGGTTGCGGGCGGTGCAGTTGCCATACCAGGCGGTGATACAGCCCGACAGGATGCTTTCAATTGTGCATCTATAAAAGTTTGTGAGGGTTTTAGGTGCCAAGCCAAATTTCTCCAGCCTCCTGAGGTTGAAGATGTGATGTTGCGCCTTCTTCACCACACTGTCTGTGTGGGTGGACCATTCCAGATCGTCAGTGATGTGTACGCAGAGGAACTTGAAGCTTTCCACCTGCCCCACAGCGGTCCCAACGATATGGATAGGGTCGTGTTCCCTCTGCTGTCTCCTGAAGTCCACGATCAGCTCCTTTGATTTGTTGACATTGAGGGAGAGGTTATTTTCCTGGCACCACACTCCCAGGGCCTTCACCTCCTCTCTGTAGGCTGTCTCGTCATTGTTGGTAATCAGGCCTACTACGGTTGTGTCGTCTGCAAACTTGATGATTGAGTTGGAGGCGTGTGTGGCCACGCAGTCATGGGTGAACAGGGAGTACAGGAGGGGGCTGAGCACGCACCCTTGTGGGGCCCCTGTGTTGAGGATCTGCAAAGTGGAGGTGTTGTTTCCTACCTTCACCACCTGGGGGCAGCCCGTCAGGAAGTCCAGGACCAATTAAACAGGGCGGGGTTCAGACTCAGGGCCCCGAGCTTAATGATGAGCTTGGAGGGTACTATGGTGTTGAATGCTGAGCTATAGTCAATGAACAGCATTATTCCTCTTGTCCAGATGGGATAGGGCAGTGTGCAGTGCGATACCAATTGCATCGTCTGTGGATGCATTGGGGCGGTAAGCAAATTGAAGTGGGTCTAGGGTGTCAGGTAAGGTAGAAGTGATATGATCCTTAACTAGCCTCTCAAAGCACTTCATGATGACAGAAGTAAAGCCAGTGTGCCTATTTATGCGGATGACTCAACACTATACACGTCAGCTACTACAGCGTCTGAAATGACTGCAACACTTAACAAAGAGCTGCAGTTAGTTTCAGAATGGGTGGCAAGGAATAAGTTAGTTTCAAAAACTAAAAGCATTGTATTTGGGACAAATCATTCACTAAACCCTAAACCTCAACTAAAACTTGTAATGAATAATGTGGAAATTGAGCAAGTTGAGGTAACTAAACTGCTTGGAGTAACCCTGGATTGTAAACAGTCATGGTCAAAACATGTTGATACAACAGTAGCTAAGATGGGGAGAAGTTTGTCCATAAAGCGCTGCTCTGCCTTCTTAACAACACTATCAACAGCCTACAGGCCCTAGTTTTGTCACACCTGGAGTACTGTTCAGTCGTGTGGTCAGGTGCCCCAAAGCTGGAAAATTGCAATTGGCTCAGAACAGGGCAGCACGGCAGGCCCTTGGATGTACACAGATCGCTGTCAAATGTGCTTCAACAAAGTACTGAGTAAAGAGTCTGAATATTTATGTTTTTTATTTTTAATACATTTGCAACAACCACTTTTTTTTTTTACTTTGTCATTATGGGGTATTGTGTGTATATTGATGAGGGGAAAAAACAATTTAATCAATTTAAAATAAGGCTGTTATGTAACAAAATGTGGAAAAAGTTGAGCGGTCTGAATACTTTCTGAATGCACTATATATACAAAAGTATGTGGACACCCCTTCAAATTTGTGGATTCGGCTATTTCAGCCACAGCCGTTGCTGACAGGTGTATAAAATCGAGCACACCGCCATGCAATCTCCATAGACAAACATTGGCAGTAGAATGGCCTTACTGAAGAGCTCAGTGACTTTCAACGTGGCACCGTCATAGGATGCCACCTTTCCAACAAGTCAATTCGTCAAATTTCTGCCTTGCTACAGCTTTCCCGTTCAACTGTAAGTGCTGTTATTGTGAAGTGGAAACATATAGGAGCAACAATGTCTCAGCCACGAAATGGTAGGCCCCACAAGCTCAGAGAACGGGACCGCCGAGTGCTGAAGTGCGTAGTGCGTAAAAATAATCTGTCCTCAGTTGCAACACTCACTATGGAGTTCCAAACTGCCTCTGGAAGCAACGTTAGCACAATAACTGTTTGTCGGGAGCCTCATTAAATAGGTTTCCATGGCAGAGCAGCCGCACACAAGCCTAGTAGCCATGCGCAATGCCAAGTGTTGGTTCGAGTGGTGTAAAGCTAATTCTCTGGAGTGATGAATCACGCTTCACCATCTGGCAGTCTGAGTACGAATCTGGGTTTGGAGGAAGCCAGGAGAACGCTACCTGCCAGAATGCATAGTACCAACTGTAAAGTTTGGTGGAGGAAGAATAATGGTCTGGGGCTGTTTTTCATGGTTCAGGCTAGGCCCCTTAGTTCTAGTATAATAATAATAATATAATAATAATAATATGCCATTTAGCAGACACTTTTATCCAAAGCGACTTACAGTCATGTGTGCATACATTTTTATGTATGGGTGGTCCCGGGGATCAAACCCACTACCCTGGCGTTACAAGCGCCATGCTCTACCAATTGAGCTACAGAGCCTACATACTAGTGAAGGGAAATGTTAACGCTACAGCATACAATGACATTCTAGACGATTCTGTGCTTCCAACTTTGTGGCAACAGTTTGGGGAAGGCCCTTTCTTGTTTCAGCATGACAATGCCCCTGTGCACAAAGCGAGATCCATTAAGAAATGGTTTGTCAAGATCGGTGTGGAAGAACTTGACTGGCCTGCGCAGAGCCCTGACCTCAACCCCATCAAACACCTTTGGGATGAATTGGAACACCGACTGCGAGCCAGGCCTAATCGCCTATTATCAGTGCCCGACCTCACTAATGCAGTGTGGCTGAATGGAAGCAAGTCCCGGCAGCAATGTTTAATATAATATAATATGCCATTTAGCAGACGCTTTTATCCAAAGCGACTTACAGTCATGCGTGCATACATTACATGTTCCAACATCTAGTGGAAAGCCTTCCCAGACTTCCCAGAAGAGTGGAGGCTGTTATGGCGGCAAAGAGGGGACCAACTTCATATTAATGCCCATGATTTTTTAACGAGATGTTCGACGAACAGGTGTCCACATACTTTCGGTGTCCACATACTTTTGGGTGGGGCATAGACCCACCCATTTGCACCCATTTGGGAGCCAGGCCCACACACTGGGAAGCCAGGCCCAGCCAATCAGAATGAGTTTTTCCCCACAAAAGAGATTAATTAGAGACAGAAATACTCCTCAGTTTCATCAGCTGTCCGGGTGGCTGGTCTCAGACGATCCCGCAGGTGAACAGGTCGGATGTGGAGGTCCTAGGCTGGCGTGGTTACACGTGGTCTGTTGTTGTGAGGCCGGTTGGACATACTGCAAAATTCTCTAAAATGATGTTGGAGGCAGCTTATGATAGAAAAATGAACATTAAATGATCTTGCAACAGCTCTGGTGGACATTCCTGCAGTCAGCATGCCAATTGCATGCTCCCTAAAAACTTGAGACATCTGTAGCATTGTGTTGTGTGACAAACCTGCACATTTCAGAGTGGCCTTTTATTGTCCCCAGGACAAGGTGCACCTGTGTAATGAGCATGCTGTTTAATCAGCTTCTTGATATGCCATACCTGTCAGGTGGATGGATTATCTTTGAAAACATGAAATGCTCACGAACTGGGACATAAACAAATTTGTGCACAAAATTTAAGATAAATAAGCTTTTTGTTCGTATGGAACATTTATGGGATCTTTCATTTCAGCTCTTGAAACATGGTACCAACACTTTACATGTTGCGTTCATATTTATGTTCTGTGTATTATGAATTTTGCTATTTATAGGGCTAATGGTAACTACTTCTAAACTTCTAATGATCCAATCAACCATGAACGAATAATAGTATACCTAGCTTCACCTTGAAATGATGGTGTCCTTTGGCAAATCAGATGCCAATGTAGCCTACATAAACCCAACCTCACTCCAAATTGTATTTCAAAAAAGTTTGAGGAGTTACTTTCAACTATTCAACGTTATTAGTTAGTCTACGCAAATGAGTATGGCAGCTGATCAGTATCTAAACATGTTGACATGATAGCTCAGCTGAATCGAACACAGCTTGTTTCCAATACTAAGCTGGGTACATAGAGGTAGGCATCTGGATGGTAGACTTGTTCTCACTGAAGTGCATTACTCCTCATTTACCAGTAGGAGACACTGTTGGACTGTGGCTTCACATTTCATTACAATATACCTCTTGATTTATGATGTTGATTCAAACATACCATTGAAAAATATTTTTAACGGAATTTCAACGTATACATACAGTGAGGGAAAAAACTATTTGATCCCCTGCTGATTTTGTACGTTTGGCCACTGACAAAGAAATGATCAGTCTATAATTTTAATCGTAGATTTATTTGAACAGTGAGAGACAGAATAACAACAAAAAAATCCAGAAAATGTCAAAAATGTTATAAATTGATTTGCATTTTAATGAGGGAAATAAGTATTTGACCCCCTCTCAATCAGAAAGATTTCTGGCTCCCAGGTGTCTTTTATACAGGTAACGAGCTGAGATTTGGAGCACACTCTTAAAGGGAGTGCTCCTAATCTCAGTTTGTTACCTGTATAAAAGACACCTGTCCACAGAAGCAATCAATCAATCAGATTCCAAACTCTCCACCATGGCCAAGACCAAAGAGCTCTCCAAGGATGTCAGGGACAAGATTGTAGACCTACACAAGGCTGAAATGGGCTACAAGACCATCGCCAAGCAGCTTGGTGAAAAGGTGACAACAGTTGGTGCGATTATTCGCAAATGGAAGAAACACAAAATAACTGTCAATTTCCCTCGGCCTGGGGCTCCATGCAAGATCTCACCTCGTGGAGTTGCAATGATCATGAGAACGGTGAGGAATCAGCCCAGAACTACACGGGGGGATCTTGTCAATGATCTCAAGGCAGCTGGGACCATAGTCACCAAGAAAACAATTGGTAACACACTACGCCCTGCAGGACTGAAATCCTGCAGCGCCCGCAAGGTCCCCCTGCTCAAGAAAGCACATATACAGGGCCGTCTGAAGTTTGCCAATGAACATCTGAATGATTCAGTGGAGAACTGGGTGAAATTGTTGTGGTCAGATGAGACCAAAATCGAGCTCTTTGGCATCAACTCATCTCGCTGTGTTTGGAGGAGGAGGAATGCTGCCTATGACCCTAAGAACACCAGTCTCCAGACCTTAATCCCATAGAAAATCTGTGGAGTGAGCTGAAGGTTCGAGTTGCCAAACGTCAGCCTCAAAACCTTAATGACTTGGAGAAGATCTGCAAAGAGGAGTGGAACAAAATCCCTCCTGAGTTGTGTGGAAACCTGGTGGCCAACTACAAGAAACGTCTGACCTCTGTGATTGCCAACAAGGGTTTTGCCACCAAGTACTAAGTCATGTTTTGTAGAGGGGTCAAATACTTATTTCCCTCATTAAAATGGAAATCAATTTATAACATTTTTGACATGCGTTTTTCTGGATTTTTTTGTTGTTATTCTGTCTCTCACTGTTCAAATAAATCTACCATTAACATTATAGACTGATCATGTCTTTGTCAGAGGGCAACCGTACAAAATCAGCAGGGGATCAAATACTTTTTTCCCTCACTGTAGTTTTGATGATTATATTGAAATTAGATTGATGTAACAACCTGTTAGTCATGTTTAGTCAATGTATTTTAGTTGAAGTTTTACCCTAATTTCAATGTTTACAATGCTGGTTGAAATGAGATGAAAACAGTACTGGTCAACTACTTTTTTCAATTCCAATGTATTTTCCACGTTGATTCCACGTCACAATACGTTAACAAATTACGTTGAAACAACGTTGATTAAAACCAATGTGTGCACAGTGGGAGGTGAGGAGAAAGGATGCAAGCAATTGAGGAAAGATGAATTGAGAAAGAGCCCTTGTGTAAAGGCTAACCATGTGTTGTGCTCCAACACAAGGGGTTGATGGTCTACCTTGGCAGGTGCTGAGTTCCTCCTTGGTCTCCCTCCTCTCCTTCTTCAGGTTGGCTAGGCCGCTTCTTATCTCTTCCTTCTCCCTCTCCAGCCGGTCACGCTCTTCCGTGTAAAGCCGCATGTCCGCCTCCGTTCTGTTCTTCCCCAGCTTTACCTCGATGGCCCCGGGGCAGGCTAGGAACCAAGAGGAAGAAGAGGAAACATCTCAATACCATCCTTTTTTATTTTTAAAGGAGATTAGCGGGAGTCGAGAGCGTTACTGCTCAACCAGACTCCGGCACATCTCAATACTATCTTCACATTTCAATATAATCAATAGAGTGTTTCTCTATCATTCTTTTCTTCTTTATTTTAAGTGTCTTTGCCTCCTCGCCTCATTCGTTTAGCTTTGCAATAATTTGATATATCTGAATACCCAATTGACCTCACAATATCCATATTGCTTTCACCTACATTTGACTGAAATTATATTGACTTTTGCACACTGACAGATAGCCCATAGGTGCATAGTTCAGGTAAAACATTCCACATGGGATGAATAGTGTATACTAACAAACACGTCTGTCTCAAGTTTATTGCCTGTCAGTTTGCACATCGTTCACTTTTTTAACTGTGTGTATAGACTATCCTAGCCTATACTAACAAAATAAACATTAATTCACTTTGATCGTAATGGGATCCACCTTAGGATAAACAAATAGATACATTTATAGTGTGCCGGTTTCCATCCACTCTGTGTAAAAAGTTTCTACTTGATTAGAGTGACTGTTCAATTACATTGCTTTCCAATTTCCTCTGTCTTTGGTTCATTTCTCACCTGTGGATAAGACTTTGGTCCTTTGGTCTCCACTGCTGGCACTCCGAAGTCTGAGAGGTTGGGGACTGTGAGGGGGAAGGCTGAATACAAGAGTGGTAGCTGCAGGACTCTGAGGGGTTTTGGGGGGCTGTATGTTAAGGGTGGTTGTGCTGGGGTCCTGGGGGTGCTGTATGCCTGGACTGGCCCTCCTCGGCATGTCTTGGCTGAGGAGGGAGGTCTTCTGAGTCAGGGTATGGGGCCGTAGAGGGCTGGGAGACAGGGGGCACTCCTGCTCAGGTCTGTTGGTGGGAGCAGTGGGATCCACTCCATTGTGGGATGGTGGAAGCTCTGATTCAGACTGGTTGCTCGAATCAACCTAGGAACGTAGATATACATTACATTTAATGAATTATTTTATCAACACGTACAAACATTTCTCGTTTTATTCTAACATTGTTCAAACCTTTGTAATAAAATCAGGGTTAAGCTTAATTCAATTCATATAATGAATTGATACTCACTGAATTTACTTAAGATATACACTACCGTTCAAAAGTTTAGGGTCACTTACAAATTTCATAAAAATAAATAAAAATTCATTAAAATAACATCAAATTGATCAGAAATACAGTGTAGATATTGTTAATGTTGTAAATGGCTATTGTAGCTGGAAATGGCTGATTTTTAATGGAATAGCTACATAGGCGTACAGAGGCCCATTATCAGCAACCATCAGTCCTGTCAACAGTGAAGAGGTGACTACGGGATGCTGACCTTCTAGGCAGAGATGTAAAGAAAAAGCCATATCTCAGACTGGCCAATAAAAAGAAAAGATATGGCTTTTTCTTTGCAACTCTGCTTAGAAGGTCAGCATCCCGGAGTCGCCTCTTCACTGTTGACGTTGAGACTGGTGTTTTGCGGGTACTATTTAATGAAGCTGCCAGTTGAGGACCTGTGAGGCACCTGTTTCTCAAACTAGACACTCTAATGTATTTGTCCTCTTGCTCAGTTGTGCACCGGGGCCTCCCACTCCTCTTTCTATTCTGGTTAGAGCCAGTTTGCGCTGTACAGCGTTGTACGAGATTTTCAGTTTCTTGGCAATTTCTCGCATGGAATAGCCTTCATTTCTCAGAACAAGAACAGACTGACGAGTTTCAGAATTAAGTTATTTGTTTCTGGCCATTTTGAGTCTGTAATCGAACCCACAATTGCTGATGCTCCAGATACTCGACTAGTCTCAAGAAGGCCAGTTTTATTGCTTGTTTACATTTTTTTTTTACATTAGCTCAGTTGGTAGAGCATGGCGTTTGCAATGCCAGGGTTGTGGGTTCGATTCCCACGGGGGGCCAGTATGAAAAAATGTATGCACTCACTAACTGTAAGTCGCTCTGGATAAGAGCGTCTGCTAAATGACAAAAATATCAATGTAAAATGATAAACTTGGATTAGCAAACACAACGTGCCATTGGAACACAGGACTGATGGTTGCTGATAATGGGCCTCTGTACGCCTATGTAGATATTCCATTAAAAATCAGCCGTTTCCAGCTACAAAAGCTACAACTTTTCCATACTGGCCCCCCGTGGGACATGATTACAATGGATCCTGTATTAGCCTTGGGTTTAGATCCTGAATGATTTGGTTCCATACCTGACTAGGGAGGTCCTGCTGCTCCTCAGGGGGGGTGGGTGAAGGGCGGGGGGGTTCTTTGTTTGGGGACCCTCTGCCACAGGATGTGTGGAGGAACGAGCGTACAGGAATGAGGTCCAAGTAAACCTTGTCTGTTGCAACCTGCCCTGCACTGTCCACCACCACCACATCGCCATCTTGACCGCACGGTCCAGTGCTGTCCTGACGACATTGACCACTGCTCTCCTGATCATCCAAAAGACCGCTCTCCTCTGCATCCTGTCATGGCAGGAACAGAGGGACACACAGCACTGAGACACTGTTTTTCCAGTCTCCCTACATCATTATGAGTGATGAGAGGTGTTTCAGACATAATTATGCATCATAGCGGCAGTTTTGAATTTTTTGCGCAGAGAAAGTTCAACCAATGACGTCAGTGGTTGATTGAGCCTGCAGTCTGATCCAAAAACGAATGGATTTATGTTTTGTAGCAATTATTGTGGCCTTAGTGTTTCACCAATTGCACAATCACTCTAGCAGCGAGTAGATATGGTTGTCCTTGTTCAATAGAGCCATTGCACTTGTCTCAACGATGTTCCTATCTGCCACGACATTGCAGGATATCTTGGTTGACAAATTTTCCCTGGCTTTGTAAAGACTACAGCCTGACGGGAGCCCTTCTTCCTTGTACAATGGTGTTCTTACCCTCGAAGGTGGGCTTTTCAAAACCGGGGCAGGACTAGTTTCTACAGGTTCACGGGAGCTATGTTACCGTGCACTGTCTATCCAAGATTATTAAATAAGTACAATGGCTGCTTCTGATGATTCATGAAGATTGATTGATTGATGAGAGGGGTGCTGAAGATGTTCTTCAGAACCTCCAAGATCAACTAGCGGCAGCAGCCTAGGAGGGCAAATGACATTGTTGTTTTTTCTGTAAAAATCTCTCTTTTTACATGAGGCAGTGTTGTTCAGTACAGTATAATTTTGTGATTGATTCGGCCATAACAGAGACCACTACAAGTTAAGCTAGCCAAGTTGAGCTAGCTAGCTTTGTTTGCTACACCCAAAATGTACTGTTGCCTAACGTTACAGCCTCAGTGCATCTCATTAGGAGCAAAAATGTATAAATGTTTTGATGATGATGACGAAGAGTAAAGGAATGACCAATCAAGTTGTAGAAACATCTCAAGGATGATCAATGGAAACAGGATACACATGAGCTCAATTTCGAGTCTCATAGCAAAGGGTCTGAATAATTATGTAAATAAAGTCTTCCTGTTTTTAATTTTTAATGATTTGCTAACATTTCTAAAAACCTGTTTTCGTTTTGTCATTATGGGGTATTGTGTGTAGATTTATATATATATATATATATATATATATATATATATTTTTAAATACGTTTTAGAATAAGGCTGTAACGTAACAAAATGTGGAAAAAGTCAAGGTGTCTGAATAATTTCCGAATGCACTGTATATCCACTAGTTCCAATATATTCATGATATTCGTGATTTCCTTAAGTGCATGAGGGTGATAGTTTGTATGTGATTTCCTTTACGGTACATTGAGGTATTTAAAACCGTATTATAATCTCGTACCATAATAATAGTCTTGTATTGCTTATAGGATCATCATTATTTAGACCGTATAGATTAATGAGACAAATCTGTTTATGGTCCAATAACATATTTCAAATAATCCATCTTCCTTGATCTGTTCGAACAATTTGCACATTCTGATAAAAATAGTTGTTAATTAATATGATCACCCCTTTTGAGTTTCTTTGCCCATGGGAGAAGTATACCCCCCCCCCCCCCCCCCCCCCCCCAGTCCCTTTTCCACGCAACATAATCTAAAGTTGTTGAATGAGTATCCTGTAAACAATAGATATTATATTCCTTGTCTTTTAGCCAGGTAAATATTGATGGTCTTTCCATATTATCTGCTAAGCCTTTACAATTATACAGTGAGGGAAAAAAGTATTTGATCCCCTGCTGATTTTGTACATTTGCCCACTGACAAAGAAATTATCAGTCTATAATTTTAATGGTAGGTTTATTTGAACAGTGAGAGACAGAATAATAACACAAAAATCCAGAAAAACGCATGTCAAAAATGTTATAAATTGATTTGCATTTTAATGAGGGAAATAAGTATTTGACCCCCTCTCAATCAGAAACATTTCTGGCTCCCAGGTGTCTTTTATACAGGTAACGAGCTGAGATTAGGAGCACACTCTTAAAGGGAGTGCTCCTAATCTCAGTTTGTTACCTGTATAAATGACACCTGTCCACAGAAGCAATCAATCAATCAGATTCCAAACTCTCCACCATGGCCAAGACCAAAGAGCTCTCCAAGGATGTCAGGGACAAGATTGTAGACCTACACAAGGCTGGAATGGGCTACAAGACCATCGCCAAGCAGCTTGGTGAGAAGGTGACAACAGTTGGTGTGATTATTCGCAAATGGAAGAAACACAAAATAACTCCCTCGGCCTGGGGCTCCATGCAAGATCTTACCTTGTGGAGTTAAAATGATCATGAGAACGGTGAGGAATCAGCCCAGAACTATACGGGAGGATCTTGTCAATGATCTCAAGGCTGCTGGTACCATAGTCACCAAGAAAACAATTGGTAACACACTACGCCGTGAAGGACTGAAATCCTGCAGCGCCCACAACGTCCCCATGCTCAAGAAAGCACATTTACAGGCCCGTCTGAAGTTTGCCAATGAACATCTGAATGATTCAGAGGAGAACTGGGTGAAAGTGTTGTGGTCAGATGAGACTTCACCGCATCAAAGGGACGATGGACGGGGCCATGTACCGTCAAATCTTGGGTGAGAACCTCCTTCCCTCAGCCAGGTCATTGAAAATGGGTCGTGGATGGGTATTCCAGCATGACAATGACCCAAAACACACGGCCAAGGCAACAAAGGAGTGGCTCAAGAAGAAGCACATTAAGGTCCTGGAGTGGCCTAGCCAGTCTCCAGACCTTAATCCCATAGAAAATATATGTGTTGGGAGCTGAAGGTTCGAGTTGCCAAACGTCAGCTTTGAAACCTTAATGACTTGCAAATGAAATCTGCAAAGAGGAGTGGGACAAAATCCCTCCTGAGATGTGTGCAAACCTGGTGGCCAACTACAAGAAACGTCTGACCTCTGTGATTGCCAACAAGGGTTTTGCCACCAAGTACTAAATCATGTTTTGCAGAGGGGTCAAATACTTATTTCCCTCATTAAAATGCAAATCAATTCATAACATTTTTGACATGCGTTTTTCTGGATTGTTTTGTTGTTATTCTGTCTCTCACTGTTCCAATAAACCTACCATTAAAATTATAGACTGATCATGTCTTTGTCAGTGGGCAAACGTACAAAATCAGCAGGGGATCAAATACTTTTTTCCCTCACTGTAGCTACCTCAATTACCTCGTACCCCTGCACATCGACTCGGTACTGGTACTCCCTGTATTTGTAAGTCGCTCTGGATAAGAGCGTCTGCTAAATGACGTAAATGTAAATGTATATAGCCATGTTACTTTTACTTCATATTGTTATTCATTATTCACTGTGTATAAATCTTTTGTGTCACCATTTTTATTTAATTTTTTATCATTATCTTAACTCTGCATTGTTGGAAAAGGACCCATAAGCATTTCACTGTTAGTCTACACCTGTTGTTTACAGGTGACAAATACAATTTGATTTGAGTTGTAAGCATACTAGGCATTCTATATTAAACTACATCAGCCTAACTGAATATGGATGTTGTGTTGGCTGAATGTTCCAGGCAGTGTCCTGAATGTTCTTCAGTTGGTGACCTTCATCTTATGTTTGGTCAATGGCAGTTGGTTTAGTAGGCGTTGGCGCTGTAGCGCTGTTGGCAGGGATGTTGGGTTTGGGGAGCTGTGACTTTGGCTGCTTGTAGACCACTGTCTTGTCCTTTCTTCATTAGGGGGTCCTGCGTGCTCTGGGCATTACTGACTCAAATGAACGAAATTAGTCGAAAGATTAATTATTTTGACTGAACTAGTCAAAAAGACCTGAGCTTCCCCTCACTAAAAGATATGAGACAACCTAAACCATCTAAACTGGAAAAATCATTTCAGTAACGGGTGCAATTTGTAACAGATTGGATTAGTTTAGAAATATGTATGTTATTTATATTTGAGTAGCATAAGATTAATTCATCAAACATGCAAAAACATAAATACTGAAATAAACAATTCTAAAAATCAACCAGCAATAGAACATGCTGAGAAATATGATAATGATGGGCGTGATTTTTGTTTAACACTGGCTATTAACATCAACACTGGGGTTATTTTACACCAATTAGTGTTAATTTAACACTGGTATCAACACTAGAAATGTAACACTGAAAAATCAACGCTAGGTAACACTGGCCAACTTGCTGTGAGCAAATGTAGCACGTATCAACCCACTCAGAGATACATTATGTTTCCATTAGCTCTCTGCACTCCAAACTAGAGAACACCCAGAAAGAGCAAGAAGCTATACACACTCAGCTATACACACCCCATACACACTCAGGTTGTATAACTGATGTACAACACATTGGACACAACAGATATTTCTGTGATACAACAGTGAGTTTGTCTGCACACAAATGTTTACACAACCATTGTGCTGTGTGTCTCAACAACCGTTGTGTAACCTTTGCTGTGCAGACAAACTTGCTGTTGTGTCAAATGGGTTGTGCATCAGTGGTACAAACTGTGTGTATGTGGCCAAAATAATACTCTTGAATGTGTTGTTGTATTGATGTAGTGAGCTCACCTCTTGTTCGCCCTCTATAGAAGCCACATCGTCATATATGTCATCTGAACCGTGGGGGGCCGAGGAAAGGCTGTCTATGTAGGTGCTAGGCTCTGAGTACCTCCTCTGCATCAGACTGAAGAATACACACACATATTACTGTATAAGCTCTCTCTCTCTCACACACACACACACACACTGTGATAAATTGACTCACTACAAGGAGGTCTTGGCTGCATTGACTATGCTGGAGATCCTTTCGGAGTTGACATAATCATAGGTGAGTTCTTCAGGGTCTGTCTTAGTCCCAGTCTGGGATAGCAGAAGACCCAGCCAGTGACCCATATCAGCTGACGACTTGGCCTGGGAGTGGAAAGGGGCATAGAGGAGAGGACAGGGGAAGAGGGGAGGAGAGATGGTAGCAGAGAGGACAGAAGAGGAGAGGAGTGGAGAGGAGGGGGAGAGGAGGGGAAAGAGTAGAGGAGCAGAAAGTATTTGATCCCCTGCTGATTTTGTACGTTTGCCCACTGACAAAGACATGATCAGTCTATCATTTTAATGGTAGGTTTATTTGAACAGTGAGAGACAGAATAACAACAAAAAAATCCAGAAAAAACGCAATATTATAAATTGATGTGCATTTTAATGAGAGAAATAAGTATTTGACCCCTCTGCAAAACATGACTTAGTACTTGGTGGCAAAACCCTTGTTGGCAATCACAGAGGTCAGACGTTTCTTGTAGTTGGCCACCAGGTTTGCACACATCTCAGGAGGGATTTTGTCCCACTCTTCTTTGCAGATCTTCTCCAAGTCATTAAGGTTTCGAGGCTGACGTTTGGCAACTCGAACCTTCAGCTCCCTCCACATATTTTCTATGGGATTAAGGTCTGGAGACTGGCTAGGCCACTCCAGGACCTTAATGTGCTTCTTCTTGAGCCACTCCTTTGTTGCCTTGGCCGTGTGTTTTGGGTCATTGCCGTGCTGGAATACCCATCCACGACCCATTTTCAATGCCCTGGCTGAGGGAAGGAGGTTCTCACCCATGATTTGACGGTACATGGCCCCATCCATCGTCCCTTTGATGCGGTGAAGTTGTCCTGTCCCCTTAGCAGAAAAACACCCCCAAAGCATAATGTTTACACCTCCATGTTTGACGGTGGGGATGGTGTTCTTAGGGTCATAGGCAGCATTCCTCCTCCTCCAAACATGGCAAGTTGAGTTGATGCCAAAGAGCTCGATTTTGGTCTCATCTGACCACAAAACTTTCACCCAGTTCTCCTCTGAATCATTCAGATGTTCATTGGCAGACTTCAGACGGGCATGTGTATGTGCTTTCTTGAGCAGGGGGACGTTGCGGGCGCTTCAGGATTTCAGTCCTTCACGGCGTAGTGTGTTTCCAATTGTTTTCTTGGTGACTATGGTCCCAGCTGCCTTGAGATCATTGACAAGATCCTCCCGTATATTTCTGGGCTGATTCCTCACCGTTCTCATGATAATTTTAACTCCACGAGGTGAGATCTTGCATGGAGCCCCAGGCCGAGGGAGATTGACAGTTCTTTTGTGTTTCTTCCATTTGCGAATAATCACACCAACTGTTGTCACCTTCTCACCAAGCTGCTTGGCGATGGTATTGTAGCCCATTCCAGCCTTGTATAGGTCTACAAACTTGTCCCTGACATCCTTGGAGAGCTCTTTGGTCTTGGCCATGGTGGAGAGTTTGGAATCTGATTGATTGATTGCTTCTGTGGACAGGTGTCTTTTATACAGGTAACAAACTGAGATTAGGAGCACTCCCTTTAAGAGTGTGCTCCTAATCTCAGCTCTTTACCTGTATAAAAGACACCTGGGAGCCAGAAATCTTTCTGATTGAGAGGGGGTCAAATACTTATTTCCCTCATTAAAATGCAAATCAATTTATAACATTTTTGACATTCGTTTTTCTGGATTTTTTTGTTGTTATTCTGTCTCTCACTGTTCAAATAAACCTACCATTAAAATTATAGACTGATCATTTCTTTGTCAGTGGGCAAACGTACAAAATCAGCAGGGGATCAAATACTTTTTTCCTCACTGTACATGTTTGTCACGCCCTGACTTATGGGACTCTAGTATTTTGAGTGTGGGTGTGGAGATCTATGTCATTATTTCCATGTTCACATTCTAGTTATTGTATTTCTATGTTTGGCCGGGTGTGATTCCCAATCAGAGGTAGCTGTCGCTTGTTGTCTCTGATTGGGGATCATACTTAGGCAGCCTGTTTGCAATCATTAGTTGTGGGATCTTGTTCCGTGTTAGAGGCTTGTATTGTGTTTAGCCAGAAGACTTCACGTTACGTTGTTTTGTTGTTTTGTTCGTGTTTATCGTTGAAATAAACATGTATGCATTTCACGCTGCGCCTTGGTCTGACCCGTCCTTAAACGAACGTGACAGAAGATCCCACCAAACACGGACCAAGCAGCGTGCCCAGGAGCAAACACCCTGGACTCAGGTGGGGAAGATTTGGTCTTGGGAGGAGATATTTGCGGGGAAGGGACCCTGTGAGAAGAAGGAAGCCCAGGCAGGAGTGGAGCAATGGCAACACAGAAGGCGCCGGCCGAGGAGGAAGCCCGAGAGGCAGTCCCAAGAAAAAAAAATTGGGGGGCTAAAGGGGTGGTCGGGGAGCGAGAGAGAAGAGCCCTGACCATTGCACCCGGTGGGTTTCCAGGTTGAGTCCCTACGACCATGGGAAGAAGAGTGGGAACAGTTTTATACTGAGGAGTCGGAGGATGACGACGATGAGTTTCTGTTCCCTAACTCGTGGGGGCTCCCGGAGGAGTCCTCACTGGAGGAGGAGTGCCGAGAGAGAGAGAGAAGGATCGGATCTGCAGGGTAAGAGAGGAGGCCACCACATTACAGGGGCTGATAGCAAGAATAGAGCGGGAGAGTTCCATTCAAGAGGAGGCACTGCAGGAGGCTCGTAGGGAGAAGGAGGAGGTAGATGCACGGAGAGAGGAGCTGGTTAGGCAACATAAGGAGCGTGGGTTAATAGAGGAACCCATGTATGCAGAGATACGCACTGTATCGCCAATGCGCATGCACAGCCCAGTGCGTTCTGTGCCAGCGCCCCGCATGTGTCCTGCGAAAGTGGGCAGCCAGCCAGGACGGGTTGTGCCGGCTCAACGCTCCTGGTCTCCAGTGCACCTCACCAGTCCGGCCCGGCCCGTGCCTGCTCCCCGCACCAAGCCAGTGGTGCGTGTCGCCAGTCCGGCCCGGCCCATACCTGCTCCCCGCACCAAGCCAGTGGTGTGTGTTCCCAGTCCGGCCCGGCCCGTTCCTGCTCCTCGCACCAGACCTGTGGTGCGTGTTCCCAGTCCGGCCCGGCCCGTTCCTGCTCCTCGCACCAGACCTGTGGTGCGTGTCTCCAGTCCGGCCCGGCCCGTTCCTGCTCCTCGCACCAGACCTGTGGTGCGTGTCTCCAGTCCGGCCCGGCCCGTTCCTGCTCCTCGCACCAGACCAGTGGTGCGTGTTTCCAGTCCGGCCCGGCCCGTTCCTGCTCCCCGCACCAAGCCATTGGTGCGTGTTCCCAGTCCGGCCTGTTCCTCGAACCAGACCAGTGTTGCGTGTTCCCAGTCCGGCCCGGCCCGTTCCTGTTCCTCGCACCAGGCCAGTGGTGCATGTTCCCAGTCTGGTACGGCCCGTGCCTGCTCCCCGCACCAAGCCAGTGGTGTGTGTCCCCAGTCCGGTCCGGCCCGTTCCTGCTCCTCGCACCAGACCAGTGGTGCGTGTTCCCAGTCCGGTACATTTACATTTACATTTTAGTCATTTAGCAGACGCTCTTATCCAGAGCGACTTACAGTTAGTGAATACATATATATATATATATATTTTATACTTGCCCCCCGTGGGAATCAAACCCACAACCCTGGCATTGCAAACGCCATGCTCTATCAACTGAGCTACACCCCTGCCGGCCATTCCCTCCCCTACCCTGGACGACGCTGGGCCAATTGTGCGCCGCCCATGAGTCTCCCGGTCGCGGCCGGCTGCGACAGAGCCTGGATTCGAACCAGGATCTCTAGTGGCACAGTTAGCACTGCGATGCAGTGCCTTAGACCACTGCGCCACTCAGGAGACGGCCCATGCCTGCTCCCCGCACCAAGCCAGTGGTGCGTGTCGCCAGTCCGGCCCGTTCCTGCTCCTCGCACCAAGCCAGTGGTGCGTGTTCCTAGTCCGGCACGGCCCGTGCCCGTTCCACCGGTCAGCAGCTCCACTCCGGAGCCAGACAGTCCGCTCCACCAGTGCACAGTCCAGCTCCGGTCAGCAGCTCCAGTCCGGAGCCAGAGCAGTCCGCTCCACCGGTGTCCAGTCCAGCTCCGGTCAGCGGCTCCAGTCCAGACCCAGACGTCAGCCCCTCTCCAGGTTCGGGGTCTCCCACACCAGGGTCCAGACAGGGCTTGGTACATCGTGGGAGGAAGGAGAGGGGAAGCAGCGCGCCGAGGTCCAGACCAGACCAGGGGCGCAACGGGGGAGGCTGAGAGAATGTGGTTGTCACGCCCGGAGCCGGATCCGCCTCCGAGGTGGAATGCCCACCCGGACCCTACCCTGTTATGTCAGGTTTGTGCGGTCGGTGTCCGCACCTTTGGGGGGGGTACTGTCACGCCCTGACTTATGGGACTCTAGTATGTTGAGTCAGGGTGTGGAGATCTATGTCATTATTTCCATGTTCACATTCTAGTTATTGTATTTCTATGTTTGGCCGGGTGTGATTCCCAATCAGAGGCAGCTGTCGCTCGTTGTCTCTGATTGGGGATCATACTTAGGCAGCCTGTTTGCAATCATTAGTTGTGTGATCTTGTTCCGTGTTAGAGGCTTGTATTGTGTTTAGCCTGAGGACTTCACGTTACCTTGTTTTGTTCGTGTTTATCGTTGAAATAAACATGTATGCATTTCACGCTGCGCCTTGGTCTGACCCGTCCTTAAACGAACATGACAATGTTCTTCACCACAACAACATTGGGCCAATCCAAAGAGTGGTTCCACACCCTGTGTCTGTGCGATGTGTGTCTGGCGGGTGGGGTTTGGTGTGTGCGTGCATTTCTAGAATGGGGACTGTTCTCAGTAAGTATATGGGAGAGGGACAGGGGCCAGGTTCTCATATGAGGTCAACTCCTGCTGTACTAGGGACTTAGTAAAGGGCTTTTACAAGAGCTGTCCTGATTACTGATTTCCATGGAATTATAAATTATATGTAATGGTACAACATGCAATAATACAGTGTCAAGGCCAAAGATGTGTGTGTCTGTGTGTGTGCGTTCATTTGTGTGTGCATATCATCTCTCTCTCTACCCCAAAGCCCTCCCCTTGCCTACCTCCCCCCTCCTACCTCTAGCGTGGCTAGCTGTACCCCATCCATCTGGATCCGGAAGGAGTAGAGGTGCTCAGGGCTGGGGTTTGGCAGGACCATGCATCCCTCCAGAGGCACAGGCTGCTGGGCCACTTTAGTCTTGCCCTTGTCCTGGTAAAACCCCAGCTGCCCATTTTTTATCAGACACCAGCGGCTCCTCCACTGACTGTTTACCAGCACGTTGAGGTAACCTGAAAGAGAGACCATATTGTTATATGTTTACTTTGGCAATGTAAGTTTAACTTGCCATATCAATTAAGTCTACTGAATTGAATTAAATTGTGTGGTGAGGGACAGAGAGAGGGGAGATTGTGAGCGAGAGAGGGTGAAAGAGAGAATTTGATATCCCTGTTATTACTGTACTGTACTACTAATTGTGATCATTCATTGTATATTATACTTTCCTGTCCGTCATAATATATTTAATAGGTTCCTATGGGCCTTTTGCAACCAGCATTGGGCACCATATCACCGCAGGAATCTCTGGTTAAACCATCAATAAGCGCTAAGATCACCCGCACAGCTGATCTCAATTGCAACCACTAACGGCCATTGTATTACACTCCGTAAAGCTGATGTGGGTGTTAACGTTAAGTTGTGGTTGCTGCCAACATTTTTCTAGATATTTCCGTCCTCTGGTGGGTATTATCATTGGTACAAATAAAACCTCCTCTTTGAGCAGACTAAGAGTGAGTTATCTATTTGCCAATCATTCCATACAACTGAAATAAAGTATTTCCTAATTTACCACGGCAAATCTACAGTGGCAATTTACTCTGCACATTTTTTGAATGGAAAACTCATGTTGGTGTACATACTTTTTCATTTCCAATTTATGTAATACATTAATAACAACTTGTCTTAATACAGTATGGTCATTTCTTATCAAGGGGTGAATAATAAATAAATAAATATCCCTGAACTGTCCACACCTAAAATTTGTAACCATAAACAGCCAATCATGATTGAGTTAATATAATCTCTGTTTTCATTCAATCATCGTCTAATAAAAATATTTCAAATGACACAAATTATATTCTAATTAAGTTGAAATTCAAGATGAAATGTTTGTATGAAATATAATCCTATATTCTTACAATAAGTATTTTATATGAATTACCAGCCTTGCGATTTTCAATGTTACCGATAGGTCAATACTTTTTGTGGGGCAGGAGTAGAGAACCTAGACACAGCTGTCTAGTATCAGACTCGCTTGACACGGTAACAACATGAGATCAACTGATCTGCTGGTTTAGTCTGGGTTTTCAGTCGCAAGGAAGTTTATTTTAACATGCAGGTGCATATAATCTCCCGTTAGTAGCATTTTAAGAAATCCAGCACTTATACACAGCTGCACGTTAAGTTCTGCCTCATGGTTGCAATTGGCCCTCTATGTTTGCTTTGAGAATGTAAGATTTAGAGGAGGCTGGTGGGTGGAGGTATAGGAGGATGGGCACATCGTAATCAATGGAATAGAATAAATGGAAAGGTATTAAACATATAAACCACATTGTTTCCATGTGGAATACTGTTCCATTACTTTCATTGCAGCCATTACAATGAGCCCATCCTCCGATATCTTCACCCACCAGCCACCCCTGGTAAGATTATGGAATTTCATGCCAATAAAGGTCAACAAATTGAAATGAAAGAGGGAGGGGAAAGGAAAGTGAAGGCCAGATAGATAAGAGGGGATGACAGAGACAGAGAGCAGGTGAATAAGGAGACAAGAAAAATAAAGTGAAAAAGAAAGAGAGATAGGGCTGGATTCAAACAAACCGCAATATGCAGTCATCGTACTGCATTGCGGTTTGTTTGAATCCTTTCCAGTGACTTTGGTTGTACTGTATGTTGGCAGGGGTAATGGCTAATGTGCCTAGCCCTAGAGGCCCTCTCCATTTACCTGAGGTGTCGACACATTTCTCTGGACTGTCTAAGGAAGAGGTCTTCTTCTTGCCAATGTTCATTAAGTTACTGAATTTCAGGCCTGCACTGTATTTCTTCTTCACTGTAAAGGATGAAGGCAGAAAGGTTCTAAACCAAGAGACCCAACAACAACATTTTGGTATATACAGTGAGGGAAAAAAGTATTTGATCCCCTGCTGATTTTGTACGTTTGCCCACTGACAAAGAAAAGATCAGTTTGTAATTTTAATGGTAGGTTTATTTGAACAGTGAGAGACATAAAAAAAATCCAGAAAAACACATGTCAAAAATGTTATAAATTGATTTGCATTTTAATGAGGGAAATAAGTATTTGACCCCCTCTCAATCAGAAAGATTTCTGGCTCCCAAGTGTCTATTATACAGGTAATGAGCTGAGATTAGGAGCACACTCTTAAAGGGAGTGCTCCTAATCTCAGTTTGTTACCTGTATAAAAGACACCTGTACACAGAAGCAATCAATCAATCCGATCCCAAACTCTCCACCATGGCCAAGACCAAAGAGCTCTCCAAGGATGTCAGGGACAAGATTGTAGACCTACACAAGGCTGGAATGGGCTACAAGACCATCGCCAAGCAGCTTGGTGAGAAGGTGACAACAGTTGGTGCGATTATTCGCAAATGGAAGAAACACAAAATAACTGTCAATCTCCCTCGGCCTGGGGCTCCATGCAAGATCTCACCTCGTGGAGTTAAAATGATCATGAGAACGGTGAGGAATCAGCCCAGAACTACACGGGAGGATCTTGTCAATGATCTCAAGGCAGCTGGGACCATAGTCACCAAGAAAACAATTGGTAACACACTACGCCGTGAAGGACTGAAATCCTGCAGCGCCCGCAAGGTTCCCCTGCTCAAGAAAGCACATATACAGGCCCGTCTGAAGTTTGCCAATGAACATCTGAATGATTCAGAGGAGAACTGGGTGAAAGTGTTGTGGTCAGATGAGACCAAATCGAACTCTTTGGCATCAGCTCAACTCGACGTGTTTGGAGGAGGAGGAATGCAGCCTATGACCCCAAGAACACCATCCCCACCGTCAAACATGGAGGTGGAAACATTATGCTTTGGGGGTGTTTTTCTGCTAAGGGGACAGGACAACTTCACCGCATCAAAGGGACGATGGACGGGGCCATGTACCGTCAAATCTTGGGTGAGAACCTCCTTCCCTCAGCCAGGGCATTGAAAATGGGTTGTGGATGGATATTCCAGCATGACAATGACCCAAAACACACGGTCAAGGCAACAAAGGAGTGGCTCAAGAAGAAGCACATTAAGGTCCTGGAGTGGCCTAGCCAGTCTCCAGACCTTAATCCCATAGAAAATCTGTGGAGGGAGCTGAAGGTTCGAGTTGCCAAACATCAGCCTCGAAACCTTAATGACTTGGAGAAGATCTGCAAAGAGGCGTGGGACAAAATCCCTCCTGAGATGTGTGCAAACCTGGTGGCCAACTACAAGAAACGTCTGACCTCTGTGATTGCCAACAAGGGTTTTGCCACCAAGTACTAAGTCATGTTTTGCAGAGGGGTCAAATACTTATTTCCCTCATTAAAATGCAAATCAATTTATTCTGGTTTTTCTGGATTGTTTTGTTGTTATTCTGTCTCTCACTGTTCCAATAAACCTACCATTAAAATTATAGACTGATCATGTCTTTGTCAGTGGGCAAACGTACAAAATCAGCAGGGGATCAAATACTTTTTCCCCTCACTGTACATGAAGTAGTCATGAATATGAACATTTGTAAATTGTGTTAAGATCATTACAAGAGTATATTTTTATAATCAAAGAGTATATTTTTATATTAATTCATAATCGTCAATCTCCCAAAATCGATTGCCTCAATATTCACAGAAAGTACTTAGCTACTTTAACCAGGTTTTCATCCAACCTTTTTATGCGAGTAAATACGTCGGATAAAAAATGTCACAACAGGCCTGATGGAAACAGTAAATTTGGTGGTAAACTTTCCAAATGTCGACAAAACAAAATACGCTAGATAAGGTGGGATCTTTTCGTGTATGTATAATTAATTATGCAAGAAATAACCAATAACCATCATGCAAATATTGATATAATAACCATCACACCAAAATAAACTTGGAGTCACACGATGATATGTTGTGTGGTCCTCTCACTGCGACTTGGGAAAGTATGCAGTTTACTAGGTTACAGATTAAATAAATTATGATGAACTTCACAGGGTGGTGAAAGTGCATGGTGATGATTTTCAAGCTCCTTTCCAATAAATATTGAGGGTCTTATTCTGTTGACATGATGATCGATGCTTGGCTACCGTTTGACAAATAAAAATGATCTCTTGTTCATAATAATGTAATCATGTAGTAGGATATACCTGCATTGTATCTGCGAGCTGTTGGCTAGAGCAGGGTTTCCCAAACTCGGTCCTGGGGACAAAGCTTATTCCCCCTCAGGAGACTGCAAAGATTTGGCATGGGTCCTCAGATCCTCAAAAAGTTATACAGCTGCACCATCGAGAGCATCCCGAATGGTTGCATCACCGCCTGGTATGGCAACTGCTCAGCCTCCGACCGCAAGGCACTACAGAGGGTAGCTTCCTGCCATCCAGGACCTCTATACCAAGCGGTGTCAGAGGAAGGCCCTAAAACTTGTCAAAGACTCCAGCCACCCTAGTCATAGACTGTTCTCTCTGCTACCGCACGGCAAGCGGTACCGGAGCACCAAGTCTAGGTCCAAAAGGTTCTTAACAGCTTCTACCTCCAAGCCATAAGAGTCCTGAACAGCTAATCATGGCTACCTGGAATATTTGCATTGCCCACTCCCCTCTCTTTTATGCTGCTGCTACTCTGTTTATTATTTATGCATAGTCACTTTAACTCTACCCACATGTACATATTACCTTAATTACCTCGACTAACCGGTGCCCCCGCACATTGACTCTGTACCGGTACCCCCTGTATATAGCCTCCCTACTGTTATTTTATATTACTGCTGCTCTTTAATTATTTGCTAATTTTTATTTTTTACTTATCTATTTTTTTACTTAACACTTCTTTTTCTTTTCTTATAAACTGCATCGTTGGTTAAGGGCTTGTAAGTAAGCATTTCACTGTAAGGTCTACCCCTGTTGTATTCGGCGCAAATTTGATTTGATTTGTTTTGGTTTTAGCCCTAGCACTACACAGCTGATTCAAATAACCAACTCATCATCAAGCTTTGATTATTTGAATCAGCTGTGTAGTGCTAGGGCAAAAACCAAAACAAATCAAATCAAATTCAATTTAAGAGTAAGGGTACACAAAAACAAATCTGTGTTGTTTGGATGGCGGAACCGCTGGGTTGCAGGCATTGGGTCACTTAGTTGGGTTATTTTCTTTAAAAGGGCAAGGTTGGGTTGTTGATGCTGGATGATTGATACTGGGTTCTTGAGATATGACCCAACAGGTCAGATCAGAAGATGTGACTTAGTAGGGGCGTGGCTTTCAGATAGTTCTTTTTGGCCACCCATGAGTGTAAATGTCATTCTGGTTAATCTGTTCTGTTGTATTGTTAAGGTTGAACACTGATACTTTTGTATTTTGTTGGGTTCTAGTTTGAAATACTTGCTATACTAGAAGTTAATGGTTACATGTATGCGGAATGTACACTACCATTCAAAAGTTTGGGGTCACTTAGAAATGTCCTTGTTTTCGAAAGAAAAGCAATTTTTTTGTCCAAAAGTATGGGTCTGAAAAGTTACTAAGTAAGGGAAAAGACAATCACATGGTTGCGGTCACTGATAAGGGTGGATAGCTGTGGATTAGTGAGGAATGTGGACCGAGGTCAGGTCAGGTAACACGAAGGGAGAAGGAACAGTTTATTGCCCACATCACTTAACTTCCTGCATAGCAACAAAGATGTAGTGTTTAGAGAAAAGGAGGAGACTCCGCCTAAAGGAGCGTTTAAATAAACTTAGCAAAAAAAGAAATGTCCCTTTTTCAGGACCCTGTCTTTCAAAGATAATTAGTAAAAATCCAAATAACTTCACAGATCTTCATTGTAAAGGGTTTAAATATTGTTTCCCATGCTTGTTCAATGAAGCATAAACAATTAATGAACATGTACTTGTGGAACGGTTGTTAAGACACTAACAGCTTACAGACAGTAGGCAATTAATGTCACAGTTATGAAAACTTAGGACACTAAAGAGGCCTTTCTACTGACTCTGAAAAACACCAAAAGAAAGATACCCAGTGTCTCTGCTCTTCTGTGTGAACGTGCCTTAGGCATGCTGCAAGGAGGCATGAGGACTGCAGATGTGGCCAAGTCAATAAATTACAATGTCCGTACTGTGAGACGCCTAAGACAGCGCTACAGGGAGACAGGACGGACAGCTGATCATCCTCGCAGTGGCAGACCACGTGTAACAACACCGGCACAGGGTCGGTACATCCGAACATCACACCTGTGGGACAGGTACAGGATGGCAACAACAACTGCCCGAGTTACACCAGGAACGCACAATCCCTCCATCAGTGCTCAGACTGTCCGCAGTAGGCTGAGATAGGCTGGACTGAGGGCTTGTAGGCCTGTTGTAAGGCAGGTCCTCACCAGACATCACCGGCAACAACGTCGCCTATGGGCACAAACCCACCGTCACTGGACCAGACAGGACTGGCAAAAAGTGACCCCCCCTTTGTTCAGGGACACATTATTCAATTTATGTTTGTCACATGTCTGTGGAACTTGTTCAGTTTATGTCTCAGTTGATGAATCAGATGACAGTGAGAGGACGTTTCTTTTTTTGTTGAGTTTCTATGTACTTGTGGAAACATGTTTTTGTCTTTGCAGCTGTTTGACCCAGTGGGTAAATAAACTTGGTTTGAGCTTTTCCTAGTCGTCCATTAGTTTTCTTCCTGTTTATTTAGAACCTAACAAGCTTTAATGAGTTCTTCAAGAGCCTATGCATATCCCAATGTTGGGATAGATACCACTTTGTTACAATAATGTAAATTATAATGTTATTAATTAATAAATACAAATATTCTAAATATTCTATGAAAATTGCAGTGCACAAACTTAACATGATGAACAGGAATTACATTTATTGCCACGGGTGGCCAAACATAACTATATGAAACCATGCCCCTAATAGGCCACACCTCCTAAAATTAACCTATGGATTACATTAAAAAAGACCCAGCTGCTGGGTCAACCCAGCATGAAAGTGAATAAAAACCCAACTATGGTTAAATTAAGCCATGTTTGGGTAATCCAAAAAAAACATCATAATCCAACTGCCTGGATGAAAATAACCCAGCGTGTGTTCTGTCCAATATTTACCCAGCGCTGGGTTACCAAATAACCCAAATTGTTTTTTACCCAGCATTTTTTTAAGTGTAACACACTTTTATAACATGTTCCATCTGACATAATGCACTACCATAAAACTCTCTATTGGAGGTAGAGCATTCTGAGCGGGTTGGTCAGATTATCAGAGCACTCCTCCAGTTAGGATCACTCTGGGGGAAGCGTCCCCTAGGTACAAATCTAGGATCAACTTCTCCTCCCGCAATCCTAACCTCAACCATTAGTGGGGAAAAGGCTAAACTGACCCAAGGTCAGCCTCTAGCGGCAACTTCACCATACTTGATGAGGATCAGTGCTGAGACTGATCCTCATCAGTTACTCACCATCTTTAGTTTCAAGGGTCTCAGCATGGCTGTCTGTGCTGCTGCCACTTTCAGATGCAACTGAATACCTCTCACTGAGCTCCCCCTGTGTATAGAGACCGCCACACACATTTACTATACACACACAACTTAATCACACACACACATACCATACAGACACTAACTCTACTCAAACATAAACAATTGTACACAACTCTTGTGAAGCATGACTGACTATTGATTGTGTTTTTCAATCCATTCCTGGCGGACCCCCAAGGTGTGGACATTTTTGTTCTAGCCCAGCTCTAACATCACCTGATTCAATCAGGCCCTTTCTACAAGCTCCCAGTACCAAGGGAACAGAAAGCATGTCCCATATTCCCTATTGAAACCCCATTATGAAGTAGTTACTTGTACTTACACTAGTCAGATAAAACCGTGCTTGACAGCAGTTTTGTAACTTTAACATATAACCAAGTTATAACCAATCTAATCTCAGAAGCCCAGAACAAAAATATTGCGTAACTGTATCAGTTCTGGGGGTAGACGTGTTAGAAAATATATTAGAACGAGGAGTGGAAGCAGGGTGGTAGCTCCAGCTCCCACTATTTAGAAGTTAGGGGCAAGTATTCACACCCCTTGACTTTTTCCACATTTTGTTGTTACAGCCTGAATTTAAAATGGATACAATTTAGATTTTTTTTGTCACTGGACTCCACACAATACACCATAATGTGAAAGTGGAATTAAGTTTTGATAATTTGTTTAACTAATTAATTTTTAATGAAATGCTAAAATGTCTTGAGTCAATAAGTATTCAACCCCGTTGTTATGGCAAGACTAAATACGTTCAGGAGTAAAAATGTGCTTAATAAGTCACATAATAAGTTGCATGGGCTCACTCTTTGTGCAATATAAGTGTTTAACATGATTTTTGAATGACTACCTCATCTCTGTACCCCACACATACAATTATCTATAAGGTCCCTCAGTCAAGCAGTTAATTTCAAACACACAGATTCAACCACAAAGACCAGGGAGATTTTCCAATGCCTCACAAAGAAGGGCACCTATTGGTAGATGGGTAAAAGAAAAAGCAGACATTGAATTAAGCATAAAGGCCTGAGGGGGTGTGATACAGTATATGGCCAATATACCACGGCTAAGGGCTGTTCTAACGCGCAACGCAATGCGGAGTGCCTGGATACAGCCCTTAGCCGTGGTATATTGGCCATACCACAAACCCCTGAGGTGGCTTATTGCTACACTGAACAAAAATATAAATGTAAAGTGTTGGTCCCATTTTTCATGAGCTGAAATAAAAGATCCCAGAAATTTTCCATATGCACAAAAAGCTTATTTCTCTCAAATGTTGTGTACAAATGTGTTTACATCTCTGTTAGTGAGCATGTTAGCTTTGTCAAGATAATCCATCCACCTGACAGGTGTGGCATATCAAGAAGCTGATTAAACAGCATGATCATTACACAGGTGCACCTTGTGCTGGGGAAGATAAAAGGCCACTCTAAAATTTGCACACAACACAATGCCACAGCTGTCTCAAGTTTTGAGGGAGCGTGCAATTGTCACAATAGCTGCAGAAATGTCCACCAGAGCTGTTGCCAGAGAATTCAATGTTCATTTCTCTACCATAAGCCACCTCCAACGCCGTTTTAAATAATTTGTCAGTACGTCCAACCGGCCTCACAACCGCAAAGCACATGTAACCACGCCAGCCCAGGAGGGGGGGTGCTGAGGATTATTTCTGTCTGTAATAAAGCCCTTTTGAGGGGAAAACCTCATTCTGATTAGCTGGGCCTGGCTCCCCTATGCCCTCCCAGGCCCACCCATGGCTGCGCCCCTGCCCAGTCATGTGAAATCCATAATTAGGGCCTAATTTATTTATTTAAATTGACTGATTTCCTTATATAAACTGTTTGACATTGTTGCATATTGCATTTATATTTTTGTTCAGTGTATTATAAGCTGGTTACCAATGTAATTAGAGCAGTAAAAATACATGTTTTGTCATACCTGTGGTATACGGTCTGATATACCATGGTTGTCAGCCAATCAGCATTCTGGGCTCGAACCACCCAGTTTATAATAACTCTTTGCGCATGGTGAAGTTATTAATTACACTTTGGATGGTGTATCAATACACCCAGTCACTACAAAGATACAGGCGTCCTTCCTAATTCAGTTGCCGGAGAGGAAGGAAACCGTTCAGGGATTTCACCATGAGGCTTAAACAGTTGCAGAGTTTAATGGCTGTGATAGGAGAAATCTGAGGATGGATCAACAACATTGTAGTTAATCCACAATACTAACCTAAATGACAGAGTGAAAAGAAGGAAGCCTGTTACAGTTTTGACTTAAATCGGCTTGAAAATCTATGGCAGGACTTGAAAATGGCTGTCTAGCAATGATCAACAACGTAATTGACAGAGCTTTAAGTATTTAAAAAATATTAAAGTGCAAATATTGTACTATCCAGGTGTGCAAAGCTCTTAGAGACTTACCCAGAAAGACTCACAGTAAATTAGATATTTCAGTATTTCATGTTTAATACATTTGCAAACATTTCTAAAAGCATGCTTTCACTTTCTGATTATGGGGTATTGTGTGTAGATGAGTGAGAAAATAAAAATACATTTTAACCCATTTTGAATTCAGGCTGTAACAACAAAATGTGGAATAAGTCAAGTGGTATAAACACTTTCTGAAGGCACTGTATGTCCCCTCCTCTTCCAAAATGTTAAAGATGTGAACACCAAATGATCAGTGACAAAAAATCTGCACATCGTAACAAAGTTCCTTGTTATTCGTTGCATCCCACAGTCTGTTGACAGACGCTATGATACCAGTTATGTTATGTGTGTCTGTCCACGAGAGGTTATAACCAATCTCACCCCTGATAGCCATAACTACCAGTAAATACATTGATTGTGCTCTTTTGATGGTGTTCTACCTTAGTGCAGATGAGTCGTGGGGAGTCGGACACAAAGTGCTGCATCTCAGAGCCCTCTGCTGGTTTAGGGCTGATCTCCTGGATCACCTGACAAGGAAACAAGACCAATAGGTATGTGCCCCCTTCCCTTTCTAAAGCATCTGGAAAAGCTCTATATCAATCCAATCCATTATCATCATTGACATTATTGTATATAAATCAGGGTTGGGGATTGATTCTATTTTAATTCAGGAAATCAACAGAAATTCAAATTTTTCTCATTGAAAAGCAAATTGTGAAATTTTTTAATGACTGAATTAAAATGGAATTGACTCCAACACTGAAGTGACAACCATGCAGTCTGACTCCAACCCCCACCAATCGTCTCTCCATCTCCAGTCCCTATACCTTAAGCCACTGCTCTGTCTGCTCCTTGCTCTGCAGGCCCAGAACAATGGCCTCTCCTCCCATGAGGATGATCTTCAGCTTGTGCTCCTTCCTCTTGGGCTGCTTCTCCTTGTAGACCACACTGCAGCCCAGCAGGCTCACGTCCAACAGCGGCATCTGCTCCTTGGAGCTCTTGTAGCACTATTGGAACACCAAGAGGGTACAGTGGTTGGTGATGGAAAGATGGCTTAGTTGGTTGGAGCAATGTCTGCCAACTCATTCCAGGGAGGTGCATATTTTTGTCCTAGCCCAGCACTAACATACAGCACCTTCAGAAAGTATTCACACCCCTTGACTTTTTCCACATTTTGTTGTGTTACAGCCTGAATTTAAAATGGATTAAATTGAGATGTTTTGTCACTGGCCTACACACAAAACCCCATAATGTTAAAGTGGAATTATGTTTTTCAAAATGTTAACAAATTAATTAGAAATGAAAAGCTGAAATGTCTTGAGTCAATAATTATTCAACCCCTTTTTTATGGCATGCCTAAATAAAGTTCAGGAGTAAAAATGGAATTAAAAAGTCACATAATAATAGTGTTTAACATGATTTTTGAATGACTACCTCATCTCTGTACCCCACACATAAAATTATCTGTAAGGTCCCTCAGTCAGGCAGTGAATTTCAAACACAGGTTCAACCACAAAGACCAGGGAGGTTTTCCAATGCCTCGCAAGGAAGAGCACCTATTGGTAGATGGGTAAAAAAATAAAAAAAGTAGACATTGAATATACCTTTGAGCATGGTGAAGTTGTTAATTACACGTTGGATGGTGTATCAATACACCCAGTCACTACAAAGATAAAGACTTCCTTCCTGATTCAGTTGCCGGAGAGGAAGGAAACCGCTCAGGGATTTCACTGTGAGGCCAAAACAGTTACAGAGTTTAATGGCTGTAATGGGAGTAAACTGAGGATGGATCAACAACATTGTAGTTACTCCACAATACTAACTTAATTGACAGAGTGAAAAGAACGAAGCCTGTACAGAATAAAAATATTCCAAAACATGCATCCTGTTTGCAACAAGGCACTAAAGTAATACTGCAAAAAATCTGTCAAAGCAATACATTTTTGTCCTGAATACAAAGTGTTATGTTTGTGGCAAATCCAATACAACACATTACTGAGTACCACTCTCCATATTTTCAATCATAGTGGTGTCTGCATCATGTTATGGGTATGCTTGTAATCATTAAGGACTGGGGAGTTTTTCAGGATAAAAATAAAGGGAATGGAGCTAAGAACAGGCAAAACCCTATAGGAAAACCTGGTTCAGTCTGCTTTCCACCAGACACTGGGAGATTAATTTACCTTTCAGCAGGACAATAACCTAAAACACAATGCCAAATCTACACTGGAGTTGCTTACCAAGAAGGCAGTGAATGTTCCTGAGTGGCCGGGTTACAGTTCTGATTTAAATCTACTTGAAAATCTATTGCAAGATCTGAAATGGTTGTCTAACAATGATCAACAACCAATTTGACAGAGCTTGAAGAATTTTGAAAAGAATAATGGGCAAATGCTGCACAATCCAGGTGTGGAAAGCTCTTAGAGACTTACCCAGAAAGACTCACAGCTGTAATCGCTGTAACACAACAAAAGGTAGAATAAGTCAAGTGGTATGAATACTTTCTGAAGGCACTGTACATGATTCAACTGATCAAGTGCTTGCTATTAGTTGATAAGTAGAATCAGGTGTGTTAGTGTGGGGCTATAACAAACATGTGCTCACTCAGGGGGTCCCCCAGGAATGGACTGAGAAACATTGGGTTGGAGCCTGGTTAGTACATTATGGTTGTGGGTTTGATTGTGTCACGCCTACTCCCGCTCCCCTGCTCTACATCGCCGGCCTAACCACCGGTCCTGGCAACCATTATTACGCACACCTGCTCCCCATCGTTACGCACACCTGGACCTCATCATCACCTTGATTACTCTCCCTTTATTTAGCCCTCAGTAGCATCAGGCAGTGTTGGTTTTGGTCACATTCAGTACGCTTCTCCTATTTTGTTTATCTGCCTCATTCTTACCTTCTGCACCTGCTTCCTGACTCCCAGCGTATACGTTACAGATTGCCACATGGTACACATAATATACTGGGTATACATACAATTGAATTGTCAATTGTTAGAATTTAGTCGCTTTGGAAAAAACTGACTAAATGACCATATTAACATTTACAATTGAGTAATTTAGCAGATGCGCTTATCCAACGCCTATACTTTAAAGGAAGCTAGGCCAATTTCGACAACAGCCCATGCCTATGGTCCATTAGGAAACAAAATTATCATTATCGTTAATGATCCCGGGGAAGGACTGCCCGCTCCATGGTCTCGCCATCACGGTTGACAACTCCATTGTGTCCTCCTCCCAGAGTGCAAAGAATCTTGGCGTGACCCTGGACAACACCCTGTCGTTCTCCGCTAACATCAAAGCGGTGACCCGATCCTGCAGGTTCATGCTCTACAACATTCGCAGAGTACGACCCTACCTTACACAGAAAGCGGCACAGGTCCTAATCCAGGCACTTCCCGTCTGGATTACTGCAACTCGCTGTTGGCTGGGCTACCTGCCTGTGCCATTAAACCCCTACAACTTATCCAGAACGCTGCAGCCCGTCTGGTGTTCAACCTTCCCAAGTTCTCTCATGTTACCCCGCTCCTCCGCACACTCCACTGGCTTCCAGTTGAAGCTCGCATCTACTACAAAACCATGGTGCTTGCCTACGGAGCTGTGAGGGGAACGGCACCTCCTTACCTTCAGGCTCTGATCAGACCCTACACCCAAACGAGGGCACTACGTTCATCCACCTCTGGCCTGCTAGCCCCCCTACCTCTACGGAAGCACAGTTCCCGCTCAGCCCAGTCAAAGCTATTCGCTGCTCTGGCACCCCAATGGTGGAACAAGCTCCCCCACGACGCCAGGACAGTGGAGTCACTGACCACCTTCCGGAGACACTTGAAACCCTACCTCTTTAAGGAATACCTGGAATAGTATAACAGTAATCATTCTACCCCCCCCCACACCCCCCATAAAAAATTTTTTACAAAATAAAAGGTGGTTGTCCCACTGGCTATCCTAAGTTGAATGCACCAATTTGTAAGTCGCGTCTGCTAAATGACTAAAATGTAAATGTAAAAATGATCCTCATGATCCTTAACGACAGATAAATGGATGTTAAATAACCAGTATGTCTGTCATTTCCTACTCAGGAAATCACATTTTCTCAGAAATGAAGTTTCCGAACCCTGCTCCTAAAATGACACTACATAAACAAATAGCTACTTAATGTCAGTGTAGATATAGTCTGTCTGGTACCATATTCTTACTATAGAGAGGAGAGAACTTTCTATTTCAAAATTGGTTATGTTTTTCTGTATATGTAAAAGTGGAGCTATTTTCACTATAGGGCCTACAAGTAGTATGTGAACATAGTCCCCCACACACGATAAGGCACCTAACTTGACAAGAGAGTAATGTGGTTGGTTTATGAGCATGGCTGTGTAGGTAGTGGCTATATCTCTATGTCACCATCTTTCTACCCCTTTTTCCTCCTCTCTCAGTATTTACATGTATTAATGTGTGTGTGTGTGTGTGTGTGTGTGTGTGTGTGTGTGTGTGTGTGTGTGTGTGTGTGTTTGTGTGTGTGTGTGTGGCCTCAGACGAGCTGGTAGGGACAATCTAAACCGTCTAGTCCTACAACCCACCAGGAAGCGATGTTCTCGAATGACACACAGCTGCTTGGCCCACTGGCCCAGCCACTTCTTCCTCCAGAGGAAGGCGCAGATGCGCGCATCCTTCATCAGCTCGATGGACGCCTCGGTGGACGGCCACTGGTGCTGCGCCGACAACGATGACTTCCCCTTGGTCACTTCCTCCTCATCGTAGGACTCGTAGGAGCTGCTCACTGCCTCACCGTCGTCTGGGAGACACAGGGTCAGAGGTCAGGTTAGGACAAGGAGGAAGTGGAAGATGATGAGGAGGATGAATGAAGTTGTAATTGGAAATGTGTGTGTGACTTTTCGTTACCCTGGTAAGTAGGCAATTAGTTGGCTCAAGGAGGTGAGGACTACACACTCATCACAGAAAGGTATGAAAACATGCACAGTTGACCCCTCGCCTCCCAAGCCCACAAGCATGCACACACGCACGCACGCACTCACACACGCACACTGATAGGAGATAGGCAGGTACCCCTTGTGATCACAGCATAGACCACATTGTCTGAGCTCTTTACACGTGTCCATGCTCCCGAGAGGAGACCAAAACAACCCACATCTACAGGGAGAGGGATAAAGAAGGAGAGAAAGAGAGGGAGAGGGAGGAGGAGGGAAGAAGAGGACAAGAGTGAGGAAAACGAGACAGGGTTGCACTATCCCAATGCTATACAGTATAAAGGAAACTATGAAAAGAGAAGAGCAACTAATATATAAGTACTTAAAAATTGGAATGAAATGTAATCTATTATATATTTTTATAAACCTGAAAAGCCTGGATGCATACACTATCGGAATTAAAAAGGTAGCAAACAGAAGCTAAGCTCGGTGAGAAGTTTTTTTTTTCATGGCCACATTAATACGTATAGTCAATAAATAACCTTTTAACCTACCTCTATCTATGAAAAGATGAGTGAGAATAACCGCCCACAAACCAGCATGTGTATATGCACTCATGTTGAACAATGTTTCCGAAGGGTAGCATTTATCAATAGTATTAATTCTCATGTTGGAAACATGGCTTGCTAATTGTGACTTGTGGGTGAGCAGATTATTTTCTATGGAACCAACAGTGCATTTCCTGTGACGTGAGAAACGTCTAATGTTAGTGTCATTTTAAGTTGTGGTCAAACCAAACACACAGCCTTCTAAAGAGCAAAGGAGACTTGACCTGAATGACAGGGTTAACTTTCAAAGCTGGGTTACACTTTTGTAACTTTTTAAAATGTAACCTTCATTTAACCAGGGCATCTCGTTGAGACAAAGAATATGTTTGTCAAGAGAGACTAAAAAGTCATCTCCACAGTTTAGTTACATTAACACCGTAAAAAAACAAACACACATCATTCAAAGCATAAAGTAATCTTCCACTGACTGCCGGTGTGGGTGCAGGCTTTTGTTTGAATGAAACATGCTAACTGTCCACTTAAATGACCCGCAACTGTGCTGTCTCTGTCCTACTGTCAAGTGAATGAAAGGGGTAAAAGTTAGAAATGGAAGTATACTCTTCCCTTTTGTCTCCTCCCTCCGCCCCCTCCCTTCCGCTATCCCACGTCACCCTAGGCTATAGTCACAGTTCCCTCCCTGTATGTCTGCTTACAGCAGAACAAAGGACACTCCTATGTATTCCCCTGCTGTCTGCCTCTCCCTCCTTCCTGTCTTCTCGCTTGCTTTCCTTCATTGCACTAATCTGAAAGAACTGACCAAACTGTGAAGTCTTTCTCCAATCAGTGGAGATGACGTGAAGGAGACAAGGAGGGGATGGATTTTTAAGCAATTTAGACAGTCAGAGCGACAGACGGACAGAAGCCTCGTTTATGGGGCCTCCCGAGTGGCGCAGCGGTCTAAGGCAGTGCTAGAGGCGTCACTACAGATCCAGGTTTGATCCCGGGCTGTGTAGCAGCCGGCCACACCCGGGAGACCCATGAGGCAGCGCACAATTGTCTCAGCGTCGTCCGGGTTAGGGGAGGGTTTGCCTGACTGGGATGTCCTTGTCCCATCGCGCTCTAGTGACTGCTTGTGGCGGCCGGGCGCATGCACGCTGACTTCGGTCGCCAGCTGTACAGTGTTTCCTCCGACACATTGGTGCGGCTGGCTTCCAGGTTAAGCGAGGAGTGTGTCAAGAAGCAGTGTGGCTTGGCGGGGTCGTGTTTCAGAGGACGCATGGCTCTCGACCTTCTCCTCTCTCTAGTCCATACGGGAGTTGCAGTGATGGGACAAGACTGTAACTACCAATTGGGAAGAAAAAGGGGTCAAAAGTATCCCCCCCAAAAAAAGAAGCCTTGTTTATACCTGGCACTAACATGCATCCTCCACTAATTGGTCTTTTGACCAATCACATCAAAACCTTTTTCAGAACTGATCTGATTGGTCAAAAAAAAATATCAAATTTGGACTGCCTGTGTAAACGCAGCCAATTACATTTTCTGCCCAATGACTGAAGACACAACGTTTTGGTCTGGGTGGGTGCGAAAGTGCTTCAGAGGATGACAGTCATTTTTACATTTAGGTTGGCTATCGATGCGTCGGCTGACGGTGAACTACCCCTTTAACAGAATTGCATGTTGAAGGCATTATATTGCCACTCAACAGGGAGGTAGGATTCAGCCCATGAATACATCTACAACTGACAAAATGTGGCTGGAGAAGAGGTTTAATTTCGTACATGTACTCTGATCTTCAAGTTCTGATAGGGAATGAGGAAGCTTTGAAGGCTTGCATAAAGTAGCAGGTGTAAAAACGGTGTGGGCACTTTTATGCATATGTTTTTGTCCTGCCCTGAACTAGGCAATTATTGAGAAGACATTCAGATCTTATCACAGGTCACCCCTGCTTAGACCAGCATAGACCAGCATAAATTTCAAGCTGGTCCATGCTGGTTCATGCTGGTCAGAAGCTGGTCAAGCTGGCCGACCAGCATGGTCTAGCTGGTTATGCTGGTAGACCAGTATGGTCTAGCTTGTCAAGCTGATCTGACCAGCATGGTCTAGCTGGTTATGCTGGCAGACCAGCTTTCATTGTGTTTTCGCTGGTGTCCAGCCTTCGTTGTGTTTTCGCTGGTGAGCAGCCTTCGTTGTGTTTTTCGCTGGTGACCAGCCTTCGTTGTGTTTTGGCTGGTGACCAGCCATCGCTGTGTTTTGGACACTGGTGACCAGCATAAGCTAAAGCAAAACCAGCATCAAGTCACATGCTGGCTTGCAAAGTGATGTTTAATTCCAATAGGAATCGAGCCTGAATAGATTTACACAATCTGCATTCTGAATGACTGCCAGGGTTATAATTAATTAATTAATTAATGAGACAACCTAAACTATCTTCTTCTTCTTCTCTGGTATTATGGCAGTCCACAAACAAATCTAAAAGGTGCATGCCACCACCTACTGTACAGGTAGTGAACAAGAAAAATAATCAATTGGGGGAAATGAAAAAAAACAAACAAAAAAAACATCAATACAATACAAAAAATAACAATAAATCAGTCATAGTCCAAATCTTATATTTTAAACTAAAGTAATGCAATAGGCTACAATTATAACATTATCAGAAAAAGGCACAATTTAATGTAAAATAGTTATTACAAGTGTCATTGATCCAGTAATTATAGAAGGATAGTAAAGGAAAGGCAAGGGATAAAATCTCATTTTAAGGAAAGAAGAAAAGTATGAAGATATATTAGGAAGAAAAATACCATTAACTGAGGGATATAAAACATTTAGCTGAGAAAGACAACAGGAATAATTTACCTTACACCCTAATATAGACACTGAACCACACAAGAAGTAGAGATGGCAGGAACACCAGTAGCAATCATGAAGAGAAGGTTCCCAGAAAATAGTAATATTGGTAATATCTCTGACAAATGGGAAAAAAGGACCAGGAAAATAGTAACTAAATGGCCAAAGGAGGGAACATTTGATGTAACAGTGTGAGAGGAAATTGATGAGATAAGGGAACAAATAATAAGAACAAAATTAGAAGAGAGAGAAAGAGAGAAAATGGAGAGAGGGAGTGAACCAAAAAAGGCTGGTTCAACTACACCACCACCATACACAGAAGGGGGGCAGTATTCTCCGGTCACAGGGTTAGTCTCAATAACAGGGCATGTAGAGATAGAAGTAGAAAAAAGGAAGCAGCAGGTTTCCACATCAAGGAGATGAGAACAATCACATTTAGGTATAAACTGTTATTTTGGACTAGGGGACAGGACTAACTTTTTGTAGGTTCTGGATTGATTACACAACAATTTATATTTTTACTAAAATCAAGGCAGCAAGTTGAAATGATTAGAATACTGGAAAGTGGTTATGGATTTGTTATGTTATAGGTGTATATTCCACTTAATGAAACATTAAAATGTCCGATGTGTCTTGATTGGGAGTCTTTCTTCACGGATTGATGGAAATCCCCTACAGTATGAATGATGAGGGAGACTCCCGAGTGGCGCAGTGGTCTAAGGCACTGCATCGCAGTGCTAGCTAAGGCACTAGAGATCCTGGTTCGAATCCAGGCTCTGTCGTAGCCGGCCGCAACCGGGAGACCAATGGGGCGGCGCACAATTGGCCCAGCGTCGTCTAGGTTAGGGGAGGGAATGGCCGGCAGGGAGGTAGCTCAGTTGTTAGAGCATGGCGTTTGCAACGCCAGGGTTGTGGGTTCGATTCCCACGGGGGGCCAGTATATATATATTTTTTTTTTTAAATGTATGCACTAACTGTAAGTCGCTCTGGATAAGAGTGTCTGCTAAATGTAAATGAGATGTAGGAGACCACGTCTCAAACAACATTTTAATAGATACTTGGGATCAAATATCACTGATTCCTTACACTGAGGAATTGACTGTATTTGTGAGAGGGAAAAGTATTACGTTCAGTGGGGTTAAAGAATCCTTCCGAGGGTCAAATATAATGAATTCTGAAAGGTGAAATGTAAATTGACAGTATGTATGGTGACAGCGCGAATGAGGGTTACAAATGGTCAAATGGTGTATCATGCTGCATTTAAACAATCGCTAGAGGGGTTGAATTTGAGTGTTATGGATTGTAGTAAAGTGTTATGGGTGTTGAATGACGATGACGCTAATGGGCGAAACCATCATCACATTAGTAAATGATTTTATAGGAGGGGGGCCACAGGGCATGTGGGAAAGTACAACCAACGAGGCAAGAGATAGCATATTTGAGTTTTCGACGTCACAAAGCATGTTGGGG